GCACTGGCAATATCCGTTGGAGCATTGAGAGTTGCCAGTACACTGTTGGGTGTAAACGCATGAAGATCCCACTTGAGCTATAGGATAACACTGGTTGTTAATGTAAACCTGAACAGTATAAACTACACAACTACAAGTTCGGATACCTGATTGTTTCCACAGTTTCCCGTAGAACACTGTCCGTTACTCAGCGTAGAGCCTGCTGGGCATCGACAGGATCCACTCAAGCACTGGGAGTTACCCGTACACTGTTGAGTGAAAACGCATGAAGATCCCACTTGCGCTATAGGGTAACATTGGTTGTTGATAGAAACCTATTAATCTTGGATAACGTCATTCGAATTAGAAATACCTGATTGTTCCCACAGTTTCCAGAAGTGGAACATTGACCGTTTGATAATATGGAATTTGACGGACAATTACAATATCCATTGGTGCACCGAGTATTCCCAGAGCATTGCTGCATCCAAGTACATTGACTGCCAGGTCCTACTATCGAGTAGCATTGATAGTTTATCAAAACCTGAAAAATAAAAAAAGGAATTTGACAGAATATGCTGAAATGCCCACTGATTCTTCACCACATGGATTGCTCGGACAATAACCAGCGCTGGGAGAACCTCCAGAACCACATTGACAAAGGCCATTGAGACAGACAGAGTTGCCTACACATTGTTTTAGAAGATAACAAACTCCGCCGGGTTGAACCTGTTCATGGCATTGGCCGTTCAAATTCACCTGAAAAAAAAACGGAAACTTAGTTTTTTTCAACATTGTTCTTGAAAAAATGTGCTGAAAAGCTCTCATATTTAGTCAACTACAACACCTCATAACTGTTACATGACAGCATAGACTGACATATCCCATTCATGCATTGTCCATTATTCATACACTGTTTCTGGAACATACAGAAACCCCCTTGCGGGATAAGAGAATAGCATGCTCCATTTACAAGAATCTAGAAATTTTCGAAACGTCAAGATCTAACGCTCAAAAATAGTTAAAGTACACAGGTGATAGCGTAAAGTAATAGGTTCGATAACTTAAACAGAGTCAACTTCGGAGGGTACTGGAACTCAGTGAGAAAATAGAGCATTGCGTAGATTACGACGTTTTAATGAAACTTCTGTTGAGGAGAATCTCGTATCACCCCTTACAAGTGGGAAAAATCAAGGTTGAAGTAGTTATCGAAGTAACCGTATGTGTATATAGTCAGTGAAGCCGATAAAATTCAGGTTTCATATTTTAAACAGAAACAAATTCCGGGTTTATAAGAATGGCACGAGGCATAACTGTGTGATGTAATCTACACAAGCCTCATCATTCATTCCATACTAATAAAAAACATGCCTGATTCGAGTTACAGCTAACTGTGTAATCGGATATGCAATAGCCATACATTGCTGTTGTTCTGAAAAGATAATGAAAGTCAAAACTGATAATTATTTTCTGAATACCCTTGTTTACATTGGCATACAGAATTCTGGCAGTAAGTTCCTCCAACACACTGTGCATCCGCTATACATGATCCTCCGATGATGGAATATGTAACACATTGAGAATTAACTAAAGTTTGTGTTTGTAAACAAGGCCCTCCTGTATACGGAATGCAATAGCCATTTACATTTCTCCTATAACCAGATAAATTTTGGTAAGCGTTGCAAAACTAACATGGAGCTCGGACATGTGCAAACGGAATTCATACATTGAGAACTATCAATACATTGTGCACTGGCGACACATTGGTTTCCTGGAGCAGAGAAAGACAAGCATTGTCCGTTAATAGAAACCTTGAGTGATTAAGTAAGATTGGATAAAAACCATCCTCTTACTGTTCCTAATTGGCAGGATGGCTGATTTACACACGATCCTCCAGATGCAATTGATCCGGTCGGGCATTGACAACGACCGCTCTACGATTTCCCGTTAACAGAAATAGTTTCCACTAAAACTCACAATACATTGGGACTGTCCCAAACACTGAGCATTATCCTGACAAAGACCACCCAATCCTACTTGATTAACACATACTCCATTTATTAAAGCCTTCAAGTAAACCTTTTTAACCAGCTATGACGATAGCTCACCTGTCCGGCCAAACAATTTGTTTCAGAATTTGAGCACAAAGCTGAAAGAACAAAGGTTTTACAGAAATGAACTTTCAATCTTTGAAACTACGCTTACGGCTGACACATCGTTTAACCAGCTGTTAAAAATTATGTTTACTTTTGCTATAGAAATCCACATGTTAATTGCGCAATTGTGCCGTACAGAGTTTAAGAAAATATTTCGCTTGAAGCGAACTATTACCTGGCATAGTACTAGCGCAACATGTTTGTTGAGTACAAGTATAACCAGATTGACAGTTTTGGTTTGAAAAGCATGTGACCACATTGCCTGTGTTTGATAGAAGAGGTGCTCCATTCATACATTCTGGAAAGATTTATTTCAATGGTTGAGGATATACTTACGATTGCTATATGATGAGCAGCATATATATCTGGCATGTTGGGATGAATAGTGACAAAATGATCCGAGTCGCATTCGTTCGCAGACACATCTGAACGGTAATTATATATGAAACATTGGGATGCGTTGAATTGCTTCTCTTGAGGCTGACATGAAAGAACTTGGTTGTTACTGAGTAGAGGTTGCGTCGAAGATGGACATTGCGAAGATACTCCTGAATTAGTAGAACTGTGTGAACTGGGAAACCGGTACGTTACCTCCAATCAAGAATAAGCAGATCTTATAAAATATTAAAATCCGCATTTCCAGCAGAACTTAAACACCGCTGCGGACTGTGTCAGTTATCCTGTGAGTTGAAAAGCAGTGGGTTTGACAGGCTAACTCTTTCAGGAAAGATAAATCAGATAAATGTTGACTCAGCTAAATAAATTTGAAAACTTCCAAAACGGAGCAAAAAATTGAGAGCTGAAGAAAGTTATAGAATGGCATTTTTTGTGGCTGGTTGTGAATGACTAGGAAGATCAGAGTTGTAAAAATTCTTTATTGAAATATCTATCTGGAGTACCTGTCATCTGTGTCAAATTCAGCAATGATGGGTAGGTGATCACTAGGTGCAATTTTACTAGGAATAGCTTGATACTTCGTGACAAGATCATGAGGGATATCTGGAGCAGTACGCTTCAACAGAAAACCGTCGGTCCAAATATAGTCTAAAATTCCACTAAAGCCCATGATAACTCCCTCAGCATTTTTGAACTGCGTGTAGTTCGTATAAGCCTTTGTGCGGATTAAGTCTCTCAGCGGGCTTCCATTGCTGCTCGGAAGAAGCTGAACAAACACTAATAACTATTTTGCAGCTCTTAGTAGGCACCTTGATATCTTTTGCTTCAATTTCTTTATCGTTTTGCCAGCACTCATCATCTGCCAAGAGGTACCCCTGAATCAGATCAGATATATTATTAGATCATCTAATACTGAACGTTTTCCAATAGTTTGTGTACTGGACCATCCGGCAAGCTGTTGAAATCCCCAGCAAAAACAACACGAACCCTCTCGAATTTACGAGCAATCCTTGGGTGGAACAATGTTTAAATGTTGGGGCTAACAGTCTTACTCATATATTTTCCTCACAGCAAGCACTGCTTGAACTGCTTTAATATGCTCATGTACTGGATTGAAATGTAAATGTGTTGTTCCACAAACAATAAACTCAGAGGTATCCCTATTTTGAATAACCAGAACCTATCAAATGCAATGCTGCAACTTTAGATGAACATCTGGTAAATACCTGAAGGGTCGTTGGACGGGTAAGGAAAACCTCAGAGGATGAGATGCTGCTCTTAATTATGTCGTTCACATCCATGTTTTCACTTAGAAGATTTGCGATGCAAGTACTGAACCTTTCCACTTCTCTTCATAATTTTCTCAAATTTTCAAAAACATGTAAGAAAATAAACTACCGAAAAGAACTCTGCTTGAAGGCGATCGCAGTTCCTTCACCAACAACCGAAGTTTCTTTCATTCTTCTCTTTCTTTCAAAAACGAAGCTCATGTTTAGACTTTCAAAGAGAGGAACAAGAAATCTTTTTTCCATTTTTTCATCTACCTCTTGCATGAAGAATAAATCAGCATCATAATCTTAAAGTTAATACAATATAAATAGTTTCATAGGCGCAGCTGACTTACTCATAAACTCTTGCAATAGCAAGCCATATCTGTAATCTGGTCGCTGATATAGAATTGGGCAATAGGGGAAGTACAACTCGGTATTTGTCGGTTTAAAACTGAGATACAAGTCTGCCAAAATATTGTAAGTCGCCACTCGGAGCCTTAACATATAACACGGTTTACATTTAACCGAAGCTTAACTCACCCTTCCCTTTTCTCAGCAGCCCATTTCATTCGATTTTCATAAACAGGTTTTTCTATTTGATCCTGCACAATATCACCAATGATTCCACATCTTAAAAATGATGAATCAGAACAGATATATTCGAAATGCCCTCTCAATTCTCAGGGTTTCTGAAGCTTAGTACTGGTCCTTTAGAGTAAGCTGTCATCAACTGGCTTAACATACCTCACTACGGAGTCGGGTCCTGCGTCAACAATGAAAACAATCTGTTTAGCCACATCATCTTTCGTGGGAACGAAGAACTGACCCATACAACGGAAGTGGAAGTTTTCCACTTTGAAAGTTCTGTTCTCAACTTCAGGGCTGATTACAATGACCACGTTGTGCTTAACTTACTATCATCGAAGCTGATATCATTTGGAGGTCCTAAAGCATAGCCTCGAAATTTCTGCTTCTTCTGTTTTGTGTAATCTTCAGATATGAAGATCGGATCACCGACAAACCAGTGTATTTTGGGACGAACATCTGCAGTTTTGCCTAATGAACAAGTGTCAATGGATAAACGTATCTATACAAACCATTCTTCACAGAAGACAAAGTTGGTATTAAAGGACAATTTACAATGGGGTATAGTTGGATAGAGGATACCATGAGATTAAAATCCATTGAATTCTTTATCACTTTATACTCGAATCCTCCTATTTTTATCTTCTCGTTTCTTTCTAATATGTGTTCCAGAGTCTAGAAAATTAAAAACTACAGGTATACACGGTAAAAACTTACAGAATCTGGGCAGCTCTCACTAACGAGAACGTCTATATCAGAGTGGATAGTCGGATCAAAAACTGTTTCTTTTTCTATGCTCGGATATCTAACCTGTATCAGTTTTCGCTGAACCTGGAACACAGAACGGTTCAATAAATCGATATAGACTTACCTTTGTTACGAATTCCGCAAAAGGAGTATCAGAAGGACATCTCAGCTGGGCAGGAAAACAAGCATTTTTCTCTTGTATCCCGAAGAGTACTTTCAGAAATCTTCGAAGAATGATTCAGTTTCATATAATATGCGGTAAACGCACTCTTGTCCTCGGGTAGCACCATCATTCCAAACCAGGAAACCGGCATCAGGTAATATATATGGGATCCTAAGCAGGAGCTACAGAGTATAAGCGACCTGTTACAAACCTTGGTGTAAGGTCATTCAATCGTTTATTCGTAATTGCCCAAGACAATTTGTTTCTCAACTCCATTATTAAGAACTGAAAACAGTTTTTATAGTAGCCAATTTTCATATAAGCGATATCGATTTAGAAAGAAAGAATAAAACCCGAAAATGAATGTTAAACAACTTTTTTCTCTACTTTTCTGAACGTGTTAGTTAGCATTTGTACATAGAAATAAGCAAGGTATAATAGAAATGTGGAACAACTATAGAAAGCATTTAGCAATGGAAAGATATGTGGAAGGTTTGAGGGTGGGATTAGTATCCACTCGGCGATGCACAATAAAACTCCTAAAGAAATGGACAGTACTCCTAACCATATACTCTAAACAGTTCAACGTCAGTGGATTCGAAGTTGATACTCACCAGAGTTCCATAACTCTTTTTCAAAACTAAGAAGCTGAACAGTGAGTAGGATACAAAAAGGACAAGAAGACTTCCATTATTATCTTTTAAGCACAAGGAAAACATGCTGTAATGATGAAAGTGACGTTTTACTGTAGTTGGAAATTTACCTGGTGCAAGTGACCTGTAAAAAACATGAAACTTCAAGAGGATAATCTGCCAGTAAAAGAATTGCGGATCTTAATTAATTATGACAAACATTAAATAGTAGAGACTTACATCGCCGGCAATAGTATGGACTTTTCATGCACTTGGAATGAAAACAAGAAGAAAGCTAGAGACGTGAGAAATAATGAAAAACGGAAGTTCTTCAGAGTCGGTCGATAGAAAAGTAACACAAGCGATGGGATAGACACGAGAAGAACAACAACGGTACTAGAAACGAATAATTCTTGATACGAAACGGAACGTACCTCAACTGTATCTGTCGCTCAAGAGTCAGCAGTTTATTTAATTTCAAAATGAAAGAATATGAGCACCATACACTAGCTACCTTATCCTGAGTGGGTAGATAAATGAAAAAAAACTGCAAAGACGAACCTCATATAAGCCTCTATAAAACGGGAAAATTCTTCTGAGCACTTGTTGGGTATGTTGTAACCCCTGTAATAAGAAGGGTACCCATAACACAGCAAAAGATGGCAAGACTATTAAGCCAACTTTCAAAATTTGAACAAATCTGAAATAGAAAACTTTACAATCACATTTCCAACTTCTCCTTACGACTCCCTTATTCTGTGGATTAATGGCCTCTTGATCGATCGAGCAAGAATAAATACGAATATTGGTAAGGAGTGATACAATTCCATTTGTTTGTAATTGACGGCAAGAACGAAGAAAAACTGAAAAGAAAAGTAAAACCGCACAAAGAAAGATTATTTCGAACAGAGCCAAGAAGAGTGTAATCTGAATGAAAACACGAATATGCGACGAGAAAAAATCCAAGAGAAATGCTATTGTATTGAAAATGCGCGCAGTCTATAGCTAACAGCCCAGGATACAGACATGATAACGCGAAGAATAAAATCTGAAGAACAATGGTTAATTTAAGATTTGAATCCAAAACTCACTTTCGAAATCTTCTTATCGGATGTAAGTTTACTAAGTAAACCCAAAGATGTAATATATATAGCCAAATATGGAAGGATTGCGCTCATCCTCATGAACATCTTATGACTCGGTGTTTCATGTCCTCGAGAAGAAAACAGAGAAACCCAGGAAGGGTTGATGGAATGTGCTCTGAATCGTTGTTTATAAACAAAGAAAAGGAAGTATATCGAACATATAGCCCATGATGTAGCTATGATAAGCAGTTAACGGAGGATAATCGAGTCCCCAATAAAGCAAATTGTTGTCGGTCGTATTCACATACCTAAAAGCTCATAACGAGAAGTACATCACTAAAACTCACCAGTCGGATATCGGTAGGTGCCAAGTTATTTCCATCCAATGACGTTGGGCTTCATAGTCCCCAAACATTGGAGCATTACCCTCCCCTTAAACACTTATGTTATAAATTCGAGTTATGTGAACCTGAATAGCTTCCTTGGCTGAGAACAAACTGCAGTAGAAGTAACAAAGTGATAACAAGACAGTATGATAACAAATTCGATGAATTACTAATATATCCCCGATTTGCCAGCAACTGAAGTCATGGAATTATTAAAAAACGGAAGCACACATTACATACTTTATTCAGATCCTGACAAGGTTTTTCCTTTGATCTTTGTAAGTTTTCATGAAAGAGAAAAGAAGGATTTTCATTGATTCGAAAAGTTCTATCATTGAGTAACATCACTGTCCTGGAATAATAAAATTGAAAAAACCAAATGATGAGCTAGATTTTGTTGGTTTGAAGTATCCTGCAGGAATTATAAAGACTAAGAATGAGCGAAGCAACCAAATAAACTTCGGGAAGCTTTTCGCTTTACCAGCCTCGTATTTTCAAACTGATCAGCTTTCATAACTTCAAAAGCATCTTCTCAACTACCTTCAAAATCATATTTATTCCTCCGTAAAACCGAATTCCCTGCCAGCAATGACGTACGCAACAGTACGCAAAAATGCGTCGAAATGGCGGAAAGAATTTATTTTGAACAAGCATTATCGAAGAGGGAATCATCTTATCTCTAACAAACCAGAAAATTGTATGAATTATGAAGTAATTTAGAATGGCCGTCACGGTGAAAAAAAATTCAAAACTAACTGATTTCTTTTCTTCACCTTCTACGAGCAAATCAAAATCATTTTCACTTCCTAGAACACCTTTGTTTGATTTGAATCCACCTCCACCAAGTTAGTGATACAGATAGTTCATGTGAGTGAGATCCATATTCTAGAGAAAAAGAAACTATCATTTGATATTAAAGACTCTAAACAGTTAACTTTGAATGCGGGTCAGAAGACAAGTTCGCTTGAGCCTTGTGAGACTGTGAGTTTTTTTCAATTCGTGAACGTATTCATATTCGCTTTATTTCAGTGTGGGATGATCTATAAGAGGTTCGATGATCGTGAAGTAGAATATCATACCGACTATCATAACCGTTTCACATCGCTGAAATATTTTCATGTTAGCACAGCTAAAATAGAGAAATTAAGCAGGTATGCGAGGAAGTATTACTTTAATCTATTTCTCTAGAACTGTTTTTTGTATTCGGCACTCCATTGATCATACATTTTTTCCGGTGGAATATGACTCCCCAATTTTCATTAAAAAAGTCAGTTCAATAGTTGAGGTAATTTGAATCCCCAGTCATTAACTTAACCTTCCCTATTGGCTAATTAAAGGATGTTGTAAACAAAGAGTTAGGTTTTCCAAGAGATATTCCACTTTTTGGAGCAAATAATCGATGTGTTGTTTGGATTTGTGTATCAAGAAAAGTAGGAAAAGCTTCTAATGTTTCTGTTTCTGATATATGAGTCTTTAGGAACTCAAATACTTTATTTCATGCGTCTTGGTCTCCGAAATTTTAGACAAAGCACACTGGAATGATACACATGAGGTACGAAGTTCTTAGTCTTCTTTTACAAGTTGCCGCTTCTAGATTTTTCGTCATCAACCTCTTTTTGGCATTAATAGGATTTGGACCCACCCTCTTGCGCGAAAACAAGGAATTGCTTCTGCAATGATAAGAAGTGCCATGAGGTTTAAAAGTTGTGAAAGGTTTGAGCTTATCATAGAATGTCAGTAGAAACTGTTATCATAGATTCGCCATAAGTGAACCTACTGAAGCGGGGAAGAAACTAGCCAGGAGCTTGAGCAGGTTGCAAACTGAATAAGACCATTACTAACTAAAGCTTTTTCAGCGACAAAGTCCATGAAAGATATTTAGTTTATATGGTTAGGAAGTAAAAAATGTTTTATTGAGGAATGAGTCGTTCTATAACTGGGAGAATTTTTATTGCTGTAAATATGAATGCTGCTAATAAGCCAGGAAAATAAATGTTTGTCCAGATTGATATGTGGTGAAATGGAAATTTTAATGAAAATAACTAATCTCATTGAAGGAAAGCAATGAAATAAAACTTTATTATTAAATTCTGAGAATCACTGAGGCTGTACCTATTCAATTGGCGCGATTTAATCAGTGACCAAACTATGAGATCAAAAAGTCAATAAAAACAAAACTACGTGATATGATAGAACCCGGAACGAATAACACAATATGTAAAATTTAAAAAATATCTCTAGGCCACTAAAGTTGTTCTCCAAGTTCAACACCCCTAACCTTTAGCAACGTTTCGTTCTTCAACCCGCTGGACGATGTTGTGCGAGACGCCTTAAATGAATAAATTAGTCAGATGCCAAAGAACAATAAAAATTAATTTGACATTTCATGTATTTGTGAGAAAATATGTGAATTTGTACTCTATTTTATTGATTGCTAATCATTTTTTGCTCGGCTAGCTGTGTTGAATGTTAATTACTTGCTATTCTCTCTCATCTCATATCATCTAACCGATATATGTTAACTCGAAATTAATCAACTGTGTTGCTCGTAAGACGATGGAGAAAACTGTTGATAGTTATGGAACTTTTCAACTGGATTCAAACTGGATATTTACATGACTTTGTCCTGAGACGGGTAAGTGCGAGTGCGTCTTCATGTTACCATCAGATGTTTTCGAATGTGACCGGAACGGCGTTGTTAAAACTCTTCTGAACTGACGATTGAATGCCAAAGTGACCAATCTAGGAAAAAAAACTTAAAAATTTCACGGAACTGGTGGAGTATAAATCTCTCGAGTTGCTTAATGGGCAACTTTATCGTATCGGAATAATTCACTACTTTCGAGAAAATATGATTGTAAAAGAAATTAAGTTTCGGACATTTTCTTAGAAAAAAGTTAAAAATAGCTCACAAGCGTCCGAAAAACGAAAAAACTCACCCGTCTAAGGTATGAACAGATATCCAAGCATAGGTAGTGAGAAGGAAGTTTGGCCATCGGTTGGAGTCTGTTTGGATGGTTTCATCATCTACCGGGAAAGCGACTGCCACATAAAAATATGTTATGAGTTCAATGGCGTATATAATTCCTTGTAGGGTAACCTGAAACGAGATTAATAAAGATAGTTAATATGTTTGAACACGAACTTGTTGTATAAAAGTTCGTTCAACAGCTCGTCGTTTCATCTGTTGAATGGATTCGTATGTACTTTGCCCTTGAATCTGAGAAAAAAGAAAATTGATCAGTGATAAGGAGAGCAGCTCACTCGTTTCCGGTTGTTCACAAAATGCATTCGCGTGAAAGTTAAAGCGTTAACTACAGCAAAAATGGCGATAAGGATTAAACCTCTCCAGAATTCAGCATAATGAACATAAATTAGATTACATCGGTCTAATTGATAGTCGAGCATCCATCTTCTGATTGAGAAGCCCATTAAACAGTCGACTCAAAACGAATTGCCATGGTCATATGGAAAGAAAGTGTCCTCACCTGCGACCAGAAACCAGGAGAAAGCAAAACTGAATACTACCGTGAAAATAACAAGTCCATTAGTGAACTTATCAGTGAAAATGCCCGAGTAATGTGTTGGAAAATACAACGAGATGAAGCTGTAAACACAAAACTTAAATCGCTTGAAAACTCTCACTTGCCGATTGATGGAAATAATCAAATGACTGTATATAGATATATCATAACAGATTAGACACAATTGAGCGAAACGAGAGGCGATAGCCAAATCTTGGAATGGTCGAATATCACTATAAAATGCAGATTCATTATTTATTATTTACTAATAAAGAATTATGTGGAAGACAATTCAAATTCATTAACATATTTTTCCAAGAAATTGTGGCATAGTGATGGAAATATATGCATAACGTCTTTTAATACGCATTTCAACCACACAAAACATAGCCTCTCTATTTATGGATGTATGGTATGGCAAAGCTTTTAATAAGATTAACGTCTGAATAATGAAGCTCATTCTCAGAAGCCTAAAAATCGTGGCAAGTGTTGAGTGGAATCCCCCCACATGACCCAACTAATCAAATTTGGGCTTTAAACGAGTTTCAACCAAGATCTTTCGTAGCCTCAGGCTATCATAACATTTCTTTAGACAATTATGAATAAAAAGAAGATTTTTTATAGACTATCTAATTCGTTGCGAATTTAGAATTCTAGCTGTGAGTCGATGCCCATGAAAGGAAAAACTACATCTTCACGAAATTTGATACACACAGTTTTCTCTCGCTCACTTTTGCAAAACGGACATTCAAGTAGAAAATAATTCAGGGAATTAAAAGTTTTCATTGCCATTGATGCGAACGTAACTACCATTTTACCTGAACAAACAGCTAAAACGACTAATAACTGGCCAATCAGACTTATTTACAAAAAAAACTAAGTCAGATGGTAATCTCTGATTTTTAAACAAAAAAACTTACAAGAACAAAGTCGGTGCAAAATAGAAAGCCCAAACACAACCAAACACACAATCACCAATTGCCTGAACAACGATCGAATTTTTCTAATTTTAAACTAATATGGTGATAAATGGTATTACCTGCAGTTGGAGAAGTCGACCAAATGAGTTTCTTAGAATAGGAAGGCGATGGATATATATTCCTATAAAACCGTTGACTAATACACCTATGAGCGCTGTCTGCAAGAATGGGATTAAGTCGTGAGAAGAGGAGGTTTCTTATAATTTTCTGTTGGAAATATGTAAATTTTTTCCTTCAGTTAGATAAGAATTATTCCCAATTTTTCGCACTTGAAAATACCCGAAAATGAAACGCTTGCATAGGAAAACAAATGAAAAGATGAGAAAACGAAACATGAGAAGTGATGACTTACTATGAAGATGACTATGGCAGCCCATCGATCTACTGTTTCGACAGTTGTATGTTGTAGTTCCACACTTTTGGCCATCAAATGCACCTTTTCTTCCTGGTTTACAATAATCGCAGCTATTGAAACTTAGATGCCTAGCGTTCAAGATAATTCCAGTAAAATTTTGAAAGAAAACAGAAACTGAAATCCTACCAGCAGAGCTTCGGTTTTATGATTTTGCTAGAAGTGTAAGGATCAAACGAGCAAGAAGAAAAAGAGAGCAGTGAAGTTTATTGGGAAAGAACAAAAAAAAACGAAACAAATAATTTGATGCATATTTAGGCTTCAGTACTGAATGATAGGGAAGGAATTGAAGTAACTGAAAAGGGAAAAGAGAAATCTAGGGCGGAGCCGAGATCCGGAGAAGCAGGAGTCTATCTGCTCGATGTGGTCAGACTCAGACATGGCCTAAAATATAGCACAGCTAAAGGCAAGTATGACGTCACAATTAGAGTCAAGCATAACAGATCGGAAATGGATATTCGATTGTTCCAAAAAATGATCAACTTTGAAAAATTCAAAAGTATAGTGAGAAATGCATATATGGTAATGCAACTTAAATTACAAAGAAGAAAGAGAGAAAGGGTAATACGCGCTTTTTTCTTCAAGAGAACTCGGTTCAATTCTCAACTCTAATAGGAATCTGCTTAAGCTGTTTCTGAACCGAAAATCTATCCTCTGAGAGAACAAGGAATAACTGTGATATCCGGGAAACAATTAACGTACTGCTTCCCCTTCGTTTCTCTTGCTCTTGGAGAGAATGAAGAAAGAATAGTTCATAATCATATGTTTCTCATAAGCTCAAACAAATGGTTTGCTATATGGAAATATCCATGGGATATTTCTAAAACACTTTGTTTGCCATACAGTTATCTTAAATTGTGGAGTAAGATTCTTTCAATAAGACAGCTCATTTCGAGCCTACTGTATTAAATATAGGTTCCATAAATACATAAATGATAAATATATTTGTGCAATAGACGAACATAGACATATAGAGAAGTAGAGAGTGAAAAGCTTCAGATGTTTGCGTAGAGGGATTGTAAACGCGTGGAAAAAGCATGAATGAATAATAATTACTTTTCTGACTTTGTTTTATTGAAGAATTGGTTGAAAGGGATGGGAGCTGGCATGAAAACAGAGGTTTGGTCTTAACCAGACAGCGTCTTCCAAATTCTTGAAATGCTTCATGTTATTACATAGAATAACCATTTATTTCTAGCATTTTTCGAAAACTTTCTAAAGAAATAGAAGCATATGAAAACAATGTAGAACCGAAATAATTCTCATGAAAGATCTTTCGGAGAATCATTCGTTCCACTACAGTTGGTATCATGTGGAAAGGTTAATCACTGCGGCGGATTCAAGAAACAAAATTTAAGCTGAAAATTTTGATTCTACGCATCTCACGAGTAAGTCATTTGAAAAGAAAAATTACTTAATTAAACTATCATTCATTAAGTTAAACGACTAGAAAGGCGTGATGATTGAATGAGTTTCAAATTCTACTATTCTAACATAGATCAAATACCAAAAAATGAACTATTTTTCTTTTGTTCACTAAGAGGGAGGAGATAAGTACACGAAAAACGTTCTATTAAATGGAGATGAATTGCTCAAAAAGGAAAAATCATTGGTTGCAAAACAACTACGGAATGACGGCCAAAAGCTATACAAAGATTAATCAAAGAAATTAAAGTTTCATTTAAGATCACAAGTCAGAAAGAAGATTTTTTCATGAAGATTTTACTGGAATAGAAATGCAAATAGTCAGAGATTTTCCATACGTCACTCCTTTTTTGTTGAAAAATAATACTTTCGATTATGACTTCGAAGTATAAACTATTATATTCTTCGGAAGAATTTGTTAGCAAAGTACAAATGTATGCCGAAGTTCAGTTTCAATTCTTCAGTCAAGTTTCAAGAGGCGGCTCTAAGGAAATTCTATGGAAAACACAGAACGTGCATAGAAGCAATGATATTCTTCGTTTAGCTTTTGTACTTAATATTCATTGAATATTATAATCATCAACTTATTTCCATTAATTTCGTTTGAAAAAAGTGAGCGAGAATCGTTCAGTGAAAGAATAATTAAGAGAAGCAGCCGTTCCATCGTCACATAAAGTTGAAAATGAAAAACTTGCATGTGGTGACGGATGTTATGCAAATTAACGAGAACGATGAGAAGATTTTTGGAACATCTTAGGAGGAATGAAGCTATTTATCAACTTATAAAGAGCGCGGCAGTTTTTTTTTTATATAATGATGGCGTAATATGAGCCTAGTAATATCAGACCGAGTGTGAAAAGATTCGGCTGAAACTTCCTTACGCATGAGCTCACGCGTGTCACGTGGTAATGGGCTATGATCAAGCTTCAATGATGACGAAAGCTTCCGAAACGTTTAGCTTATCACTACGACAGCAGGACATTTGGCATAGTTTGATGAGTTTAACGATAATGAAAGAAGAGAAGCGTCTATAAATTTAATAGTTTACTAAGTATTAAATGGTTAATTTCATCCCGTGTTAAGAGCACAACCCTAGAATAATGGAAATAATCACAGATAATCATGACGAAAAAAATATGAGAAACTGTTTGAGCCTGATGGTGAGAATTACAGTAATCAGAGATCTCATTAAGAGCTGTAGCCACTCATGATTTCATAGTCTCGATTCTTAAATAAGCTGAATCTCGCGACCCGAACAACCTCTACAGCAATCAATCGTTAAATTAGAATACAGAGGTCCCTGACGTTTAATTCGAGGATCACAGGGTGATCTGAGATACAACTTGTGCAGATCGAAATTACAAAACTCCACAACTTGAGCCGGTGGTTTCCGGTAAGCAACAGTTTCATTAGAAGACTGTTCACTGAAAAAAATAAACGTTTCCGAGTTCTTGAATTAATCGCTTTATTTTGGCTTACCTCCATTTTTTAACATAAACTTGGGCTCTTTTCAGCAAGTCTAGTAGATAATCCACCTTAGCATTAAGCTCGTCTGCTCTAATGGATTGCGCTTGAAATTTACACTTCCAAACATCCCTCTCTATCTTCAACCCTTCTACTTCCTCGTTACCCATAGCAACCTGAAAAGACCATACTCAACAGAACACCAATAAACTATACCTTTTCACAATATTCTTCTAGCCTTCGTCCTAGATGTATTTTGTCTTCAGCTAGCGCTTCTACCTGAATCTACACGAAACATCACAATTATTGGAAAAATAAGACATACTTGCAGATCATCGCCCAACGACGAAAGAAACATAGTTTTCAGTTCCCCGTTTAGTTTCCTTTCTAAATCTAGTTGCTTCTTAAACTCTTCAAGCTCCTTTTCCATTCTTATCACCTGAGGAAAAACAATTGAATTGTAAAACACCATATCTTCATTCAAACCTTTTCGTTGACCAACGGATGATCACTACTTCGTTTCTTTCGCAGTTTCATTCCGTCAATTAAAACAGGCTTAGCGTCATTTTCATTCACTTTTTCTACTTTATTAATACTCCTATACGGAATTAACAACGGTATATCATCAGGCGCCTTTCCCTTTCTTAAGGAAAAATTACTATCTTACGAAAATGTAAGAGAACGCAAACCTATCAGGACCAGGTGCCGCTTTGAAAGGTTCCCATGGAACAAACTTTGGCTTTTTCACTTTGGCTTTGGTTACTTCAGATTCATCATCAGATTCTTGATTCTCGGATTCAAAAGTAGATTCAGTGTTGTTGGCTAAACTATATTCATGTGCATGATAAAGATCAATCAAATCCATAAACAGGAAAAGAAATGGCTGAAAAACAAAATGAAATAAATGAACGGTCAGAAGTTAATATTTTGCTTGAAGTTCTTCTTCCTAAAAGCAAATGAAAGTTCCAAATAATGGCTTTAAGGATGACGAAAAATACAAATAAACAAACTTTAAATGCTTCACATTGTCACATATTAAACCGACGAAGCCTGTCTTGAGTATACCATATTAGCGTGCGGTCTGCGAGCGTATTTCGCGCTAGGGCATTAAATCTTCATGAAATAGGAGTGAAGAGTTTCTGTGAAAAATGACAATCTCAACAACGAAATGATTGACAAGCCATCTCTTTTGTTCCTACATTATTCTTAGAAGAAACTCCCAATTAATTATGGGTTTTTCATTGCAATGTGTTCGATCATGGAAGTTTAATATTGAAAACTCAAAATTCATATAAGGATGAAGTGAATACAATAAAACATGTGTTACCAACAATTTTTTGTTTGTTCCCATAGATCAGAGGCCGATGCCATCTGGTGATTGAGCTCATCAAGTTTTCTCTTAAAAGTATTCGTTTTCTCACGGTTATAATACTTCCGAAGCAGACAGCCATCGTTAGTTCAAAACTTCTCTCAGCGAACGTATACAATTAATATATCGTAATGCCAATCATCTCAGATCTCTTTCACTTGAAGTAAGGGGCGTGGCGTCTTGAAAATCTTAAGGGCGGAGCAAGATGAAGAAATCAGCTTTGAACTGAAAGACATCTGCGTTGTTTTGATTTTTGTGCATTCCACAAAGTTGAACAACCGGACAATTTCTGAACTTCTACCTGTTTCCCTAAAAGCTGAACTTATTCAGATGGCACCTCCAAAGAAGAGAACATCGAGGAAATCCAACAAAAATGAAGATGAGTGTCTACTTCAAAGAGTTTGTGCCAACAAACGCGAACGACAACGAACAAAGGTTAGAAACATTTTTTTCTATTAAAATTTTTAACTTCATCCTATCATCACAATGACTTTCGCCAACAGGGGTGTTAGAACCACTGCTAAACAATTATATTCTCGTTCGCATCCGCAAGACAGATCTCAGTCTGTTCTGAACATTTTCAAATTCGAAATGTAAAAATAGAAAGTATTCTTTGTTCACGTAGATTACATATACGTGAGTAATGTAGATCGACAAGAGCTACGTGGACATTTGAAACTTCACGTGGTTATATCTTGATGTCTCCCGAGTCAAGTTCACATTGTCGCTTGCTGCGCACCTTGAACGGTTGTCTTTAATGAAGCTCAGTGAGATTACCTCCACTTCCTATTTCGAATAAATCATCTCTTTAATATAAACAAACAGGTTAATAATCAAAAACATCTTTCTCATCCACCTCCCAATAATTCTATTTAATTTCGTAGCTTAGCACTTCTTTCCCATCATAAAGCATAAACAGTCAATCTCATCTTGCTAATTGATGCATATTCTTTCGTTCTAAAATCCTCTTATGTTTTATTAGAGGAAATAATGAAACTTTCCCAGATCTAACCGCCAGACGATCTAACTCTGAAATTATTGAAGAAAAGTTGTAAAATCTTTTATTGTTCACAGAAAACAATAACTTACATTTGAGTGCAATTCTTAAAACTTCTGAGAGAAAACGGCCTTTCGCAATCTATTGTTTTATGTAATATGATACATTTAGGAGTTAAATGATGCTTTCGCCTTGCTAAGGAAGATCATACCATCGATGCCATCTGATAAAATGAGCAAAATCCATACTCTGCGTATAGCATCTGATTATATTCGTTTTTTAGATCAGGTTACTCACAAAATATCCTCAAAAATTAGAAAATAACTGTTTAGATGAAGAGAGATGATGGGAAATTATATGGTGTTGATATTTTCGATGATAAGGCAGGGTATGGGTTACAAGCCAGTTTCAACATCTGGCGATCAGGACATGGCATCACTGGTTCAGGAATTATATCGCCTCATGTAGTAAACGGTATTCAATTTTTGAAGAATATCGTAATCTTTGTGGATTCAGCCTCCTCAACAACTGGTAATATGGTGCCAGTAGGTATGATGCAACAAATGCCTCCAACAGGTTTGGTTCATAACTCAGGAGCAGCTTCAACATCTATGATGACTTATTATATGAGCGGCTATAGTATGAAACCAGGTATCGTAAATCTCAAAATTTTGCTCTTGTTCTCTTCTTAATCAAAATGAGGGAACAAGAGGGTACGTTGCCCTCGAACTTGATTTCGCGCCTTCACCCGTCATACGGTACACAAGAGTTCTTTTCAAATAACCTTTTGAGAATAGCCATGTAAATTTTTCCTTCCAGATTATCTGGATTCTTCTACGTCATCTGGAGATATGCATTGGGAAAATTGAAAATTGCGTTTGTATTGAATTCCATCTATTAAGTTTGAATTCTCCAAAGAAATCAGAAAAATCTCATGTCATCATAGCAATGTTTTCTTATTAACTTATTGGTTATCAACTACAAAAATGGGTCAGATGCTCTATTATCATTGTATAAGTTTGTATGAATTGTATGAAATACTACTGTTTTAATTGAATAAATTATTTTACATTGGACACCCAGAAGACAAAAGAGTTCCAGGTAATCTTTTGTTGATTTGGAAAACTTTGGCGACTCGCGTTGATTTATTAGAGGAAAGTTTTGTCAGTTTATGTAAGTCGATTGACTGTGAGAGCCAGAAAATGAAAATTCCAAACAGATAGATATATGATCGGAAGAGATGGATGAATAGAGAGACGATGTGTTATTTTTACGACGTTCAATCGACTCCAGATGTTGCTCTCTTCCATAGTGAACTTTCAAGGAATCGTCACGATGATTGGTTTCCGAAAAAAACGCAGAAAGGGATTTCATTCAAGGAAAAAGTTATTTAACTATGACGGAACGAGAGGATCCGGAACATGAATAAGTTCTGGAAAAATAATGATTGTTTGTTTTCTACCCTTGAACATGGTTAACTAAAAGCTACTATGTTTTTACCATGTTATTCTTTTTTTTTGCTAGATGCAGGGTGTTCCGCAAAAATAAATATTTTGATTAGATATCGCTTAGATGAACGATACAGAACGCATATACGCAATAGCATACTAAAACTGTTCTCTTTTTTGTTTTTTTTTCAGAGCTCAATGCACCCGTTATCGATTGATTCTCCATCACTGAGCGGCGATTTATCTGGGAAAACTCTACAGTTTATGAATGCCCAGTGTCTGAGAGGAAAACATCTAGTTATCGACCACGTTTGGGTATGTCTAATAACAAATCTAAAACATAGCTTTGTGCAGGTTAAGAACAGGAAAATTATCAATGCAGCTGATGTATTTTATCATGAGCAGTGTGTAGCTGATATCCAAGTAATAGTGTTGCATATATTTCCCTATGGTTTTTATAGATTGATTGTAAAGGTTTGATTCTGTCTCCAGGCTTCATAGATGTGCAAATCAATGGTAATTATGCAGAAATAGTTTACTGAACTAAATATTGTTATCAGGAGGGTTCGGGTTCGACTTCTCTCAGGCCTTGTCTTCAAACTCTGAGTATGAGCAAGGCGTGGAAATGGTTTCACATAATTTACTGTCTCAAGGAGTTACATCGTATGCTCCGACTCTGATAACTAGCTCTTCGGAAATATACAGGAAGGTAGGTTATGATTCAAATGACTTCTTCACCCTCCCGGTATTATCATAAATAATATTCAAAAGTTATATGTGAAGCAGTGTTATGATTTTTATTGATGTCTAGAGATAAGATAAGATAGTGTGCCCTTTAACATTTCCATTATCGGAATCGAGCACGGCTTTCAACATTAATTAATATCAATTTGACAAGTAACGTCTTTCCTTGCAACTTGGCATGATCCAAAAACAGCTGTTCTAATAATGTGCAATGTTTGATTCCCTTCAGAGCATTATTTTCTGGTTTTCAGTCATATAACAAAAATCAGAGTTATTCATCATCCGATCCTTTGCTAACCTGTAAATCTTATCCTGATTTTCTTTGCTATCTCTAGCATTCCCAAATTTTGAACATGATTCAATCAATAACTAGCATAAAACATGTTTAATACTCAATGATTCAACTGCTTCTCACCACGTCTGTAATCCAGTCTCATTGATATTATTTCTTTCGTCTACTAGATGAATCTTTCTTTTGAATATTTTGACATCATTTCAAAAAAGTGTTTGGCTAAAACTAATGGTATAGCGATGCGGTCGCGTGGCGGTCCCTTATATATCTCTCACCGTTTGTATTCTCTCACCTAATAAATTATAATTCTTTCATAGTTCTCTTATAGGTTCTACCGTTGCTGTTCAAACGCGATGGAGGTATCGGAGGTGCAGGTGTTCTTGGTACGTTTCACATGATCCAAGTTTCGATCAAACGGTAACTTCTCTCGATTCTTCGAAAGCAGGTTGCACTCCGATTTTCCCATTATCATATGTTCTCTAATGTTTCTCTGATGACCACATAGATAACTGATTTTTTGATTGTTCAGTGACTATCTTTTCCTAACACTTTGTTGTTCATCAGTGTATATGTTTTCTTGGTTGCTGATAATCTATCGAAAGACTAGAAGCTTCATGGATTTGTAACATTAAAAACGATACTCTTAAGAAAGATAGACTAAATTGGAAACCAAGTTATACTCCCCCCGCAAACCTTGTGTGCTTCAGGAGCGCATTTGGAAGGGCCTTTCATTTGTAAGGATAAAAAAGGATGTCATCCATCAGAATTCGTCTGTGGTTTTGGATCTGATCCCGAAAATACTCTGAAAAACGTTAGTTTCTGCTCAATTCAAAACCACTTCTGAATTCTGTCTAGGTTTATGGATCTTTTGAAAATATTGCTATTGTAACTCTGGCTCCTGAGTTACCTGGTTGCGACATCGCCATTAGGCTAGTTTATCAATCTCATTTCTATAAACTAATATTTGTTTTAAGAACTTTAGTGAAAAACAATATTGTTGTTTCTTTGGGGCATTCTAGCGCTACTCTGAAACATGGAGAAGCTGCCATAAAAGCTGGAGCCTCGTGCATAACTCATTTGTTCAATGCGATGGCACCTGTAGGTTCAAAAACAATATATCAAGGCATAATTATAATCGACAGTATCATCACCGTGGTCCTGGTCTCATTGGCCTTCTGGCATCGAATGAGATTTCCGGTATCAATTATGGAATGATATCTGATGGGATTCATTCGGATGATAGTGCGTTGAGGATAGCTTATAGGTGACGTTTTCAGAAGAAAATTTTATGTATTAATGGTTATTTAAGAACTTGTCCAGACGGTCTCATATTAGTGACTGATGCTATCGCGGCTTTGGGAATGTGCGACGGAGAACACCGACTCGGAGCTCAAACTGTGGTAGTGGAAGGCTTACATGCTTTTCTCAAAGGAACACAAACAACTGCTGGGAGTGTTGCTTCAATGCCGTTTTGTGTCAAACATTTCATAAGTGCAACAAACGCAAGTGTCGGAGAAGCTCTGTATGCAGCAACGAAGCAGCCAGGTTAGTCATTATATTTCCCTTCTAACTCAATTCGCGTGTTCAAGCTCAACTCTTGAGTTTATCTAATAAAGGAAATTTGGATGTTGGTAGCGACGCCGATTTTGTTCTTTTGAATGATGATCTTCAAGTACAGGCAACGTTCATAGGAGGACAACGTGTTTTCTCTTCATCTCATTAATCATTATAATTGTTCCATTTTTTTCGATAAAGGTTTTCAACAAATGAACATGTCGTTGATAATTGTGTTTCCATCACTTATCTATTTTATATTTACACTTGTGTTAACTTTAATCGCATTGCATAGCTTATAGAGTAATTGGGGATTGAATGGCTGATGAAGGGAATAGATCCTTGGATGTGGACTCAGAATCCAATAACGATGGGCGAGCACTTGTACCTCCAACTTCCAGAAGTGGAGATGTCATTTCGTGTGTTTTAAATTATGCATTCTTCGAAACGACTTCCGTTTAGACCTACTAGAGCAGTTATGACTCTGTCCAAGTCTATGTTCAACGCTGGATGCTTCTCCTTACCTTATGCCTGGAAGTTAGGTGGCTTATGGGTTTGCTCTTTCTGTCGAAATATATTTGATTTATATGTTCCAAGGTATCATTCTTCATGTCGTTTATAATCGCAGGACTCAACTGGTATGGAAATCATATTCTGGTCAGAGCTAGTCAACATTTGGCAAAGAAGTTAGTTTTATCTGATTCAGTTCTCACTTATTATTAATCAGTTCAGGTCAGAACGATCAGCACTAGATTATGGTCATTTTGCAAAAAAAGTCTGTGATTATAGTGACATACGATTTCTAAGAGTTAACAGCAAGGGAATAATGTTAGTATGATCGTTTTATCCAGTTTTAATTCCTAATTTTAGGTATGTGGTGAATATAACAATATTGTTCTATCAGTTGGGAATGTGCAGTGTTGCAATTTTATTCATCTCAGACAACATGGTGTGCTTACAACTATTGATGGAAAGCTAATTGTAATTATTAGGTAAACTTACTAGGTGACCATCTAGGAGGGGACAGACATTCCAAAATGGTTGTAATGGCTTCTGTTACACTCGTGTTCATTTTAATCACGAATATGTTTACGGAGATGAGGTAATATTTATTTCATTCTCAATAGTATGGTTTCATATCAGAGTTGTTTCGGCTTTTGCATTAATTTCTTCGGTATTCTTTGTGATTGGAGCAGCAACCATCATGCAGTTCACTGTGAGGTACTGTGGATACGTGTCTTGTGATTCTAATGATGTGCTCTCTCAGACAAGAGAACCACTGGAAAGAACTTCCGGCATCGACTAATTTCACAGGGACTATCATGATGATCGGTATGGCTATGTACTCTTTCGAAGGACAAACAATGGTAAAGCGTTTTACATACTAACCTCATTCTGAGAACAAAGATTCTGCCAATCGAAAACAAGTTAGAGTCACCTGAAGCTTTCCTTGCTCCTTTTGGTGTGCTCCCAACTACTATGATGATCTGTACATGTTTCATGACCGCTTTCGGTTTCTTCGGATACACTGGCTTCGGTAACGCTATAGCTCCAGCTATAACAACTAATGTACCTAGAGAAGGGTAACTGTTTTTTATCATTTATCAGTTTATGTATATTTCATCTCTTAGGTTCTATTCCACGATAAATGTCTTTTTGATTTTACAAGCTATGCTCGGACATTCAATTGCCATGTATGTGGTCTTCGATATGTTTTTCAATGGTTTCCGTCGGAAGTTCACCAACAGATTCCCTAATTGTCCAAAGTTTGCCGTGGATAAGGGTTTCCGTGTATTTTGGGTTGTTCTAACTTATGCTATGGCTGTTCTGATACCCCGACTAGAAATTATGATTCCGCTGGTCGGAGTAACAAGTGGAACATTGTGTGCTTTAATCTACCCACCCTTTTTCGAAATGGTCACTTTCTGGACTGATTGGAAGGTACATTTAGTATATGTTAAATTCTAGCTGTCTCTTAAGGGGCTATTAACACATCGTCAGAGAATGACCAAAATAGCTTTGAATGTTACTGTTATGATCATTGGGCTATTCGCTATCACCGCTGGTGTCTACTCCAATATACTAGCTATTTCTGATGCTTTTGCCAATCCCGATAACGTCTGAAAACGCAGGTGGAAAGAAGGTCTTATGAAGGTTAGTGAGAGCTCGTTTTTCATGACACCTATTTTAATTAAAACTATCAACATTATTTTTAGAGTTTTCTCTGATGTGTATTTGGTTTTCACCCGTCGACTGGTACTTTTTTCCGAATAATATAACTGTGTGATATATTCATTAAGTTTTGCCTTTTTTGGTCTATTTTCAACCCTTTCAATTACGGTGTAGAATTTATCGATTGACTGTGATATTCATGAAGTACTGTATCATTTCAACCCATGCTACTTCTCGAAGTTCTGAAAAACTAAGCTGACTATTTGAAACTGAAGGATTCTGTCTTGGTTTTTGTTCATGACTTTTCCATTTCAATAGCGCTGGCCGGTGTGAGCTTGTAATACTGTAAGCGTTTTACTATTGTTTTGGTCAAATCAATTGTAGATTTTGTATTCTAATTTAACCGTTTTAACAAAGCTTTTATTGAAGAAGATATATATTTTTTTGCGAAACAAGGAAAATCTTGCTAAGTATCATTAAAGTACTCTTCGTCTTCCGGAGGGCTAATTAGAGTTCCGTAAAACGGGAACCTTGGGCGGAAATTCTAAAAAAATTTATGAAGGTGTTTCGAGGATGAACTGTTTAACTGTTTGGAAGTCCATTGATTTCTGCCTATTAGTCACTTCGGGAGACACACACTCTTCAAATGTAGGCACTAGAGGAACTGCAATTTTGGTGAGCTCATCCGATAGATTTGAAAAACATACCAGGCGTTTCATCGTCCGACAAGGATATTGATTGTATTGGTCCACAACCTACTAATGGAATCGTACCAATTATAATTGGACAGTGGCATCTTGCTGTGTTATTGATCGTGCCCTTACAAGTAACTTTTATCTGAAACACAACTCTCCCTTGATAATTTACAGCTTTCCTCACCTCTATCAAATGACTAACGTGAATTAAGCGACAAGTATTGAATGATGGCACTAAGCAAGGAATCTGCATGTAGAATTTATGAGTTTTCGTACTTTGAGCAGCGATTTCGACATCCTAATGCAGATGTAAATTCGATTGAAATACACAAACTACCTCTTCTTGTACAAACATTTTCCGGTCATCGACTGTGATATTATTGTAGCCCAGCGTTTCTGTATCATACAGATCCCCATGCCATCTAGAAATTATGCCATATATGTAACTAACCGTTTATGTATTCTTCACCTCGTGCTTTCAGCTCCATATCTATAGGCTACATAGGTTGTCTTCTCTATAACTTTTGCTTCTATCTGAAAATGTTTTATTGGCAGGCAAAACATTTCAGTCCCACTTTGAAGATCGGCCGATTGGTCTTATTTTCTATATTTACATCTAACTCAATCAATTCACCCGACACATATCCTGTCTTGGCTAGCTTGCACTAAAACAAAAAATTCGACAAAGAAGAAAAAAGGTTCACTGGCTTGCATAATTATTTTCCCATGCCGAAAAAACACGAAACCAGTGTTTTTGGTGCGTGTGATCAAAACAACATCTCGGGCATCTGGGACAGTGTTTAAATCGAAAGCTGGAGCAACTAAAAGAAACATCGTAAACCTATCACAACCAATGCAACTCACGAGTGAAGAACTCTGTATAACTTTTATTTGTTTTCCATGGTCGTTCAATTAGAGCTGTGATTGAATAGCGAATTGCTCCGAATGTTCCTAAGACAATTATTCAAGTTGTGCAAATGTCAATATTTCAATTTTTTGAAAAGTGTTTCATGCATCGTTATTTGTGCTCATTCACCTTCAAAACTTGGGGGTAAACGGGGTAAAATAGGTAATTCGAAACGAAAATCGAATATGTGTTGGCCGATAGTTAAAGCTCTGTGACCAACTCCATCATGTTCCCAGACGACTGTTTGATTATTCAAATAAGAAACACTGCCAGAGTACGGCACCTTCATACCACGGCTGTGGGCACTGTTAAATAACTTAATGAGCTTTAAAATTGTTAGTGAATTTGTACTCAGGTGTCTTCTCGGCAATTTCCCACTTAGTAAAAGCTTTGCCTTCCAGTATGATACGGACACATTTCGCCTGAGAGAAGGGTATTAAATATTAAGAGTTGGTTCACCTTTAGCTCATGCTCTTGGAAAATCATAACTGTTCCTTCAACTGTTGATCCAGGAGTATAAACTTGATGCGAATTAGAGAATATGATTTGAAAAGACGTCATCTGTTTTTTTTTCTGAAAGATGATTCACCAAGTCTCCTTAAGATAATCATTGGAAAGCTCGAAAACATTATTTGCTATCGAAAAAGGAGAAATTCAATGGGTAAAACGTTATGAAATAACATTGCTTCCGAGTTGCTTGACTGAGCTTCCTGGAAAATAAGGTATGTTCCCTAAAGTTATCACGCTTGGGTACTTCAACCATTATATAATTAAGTGTACTAGAGTTGATTTATGGAAGCGTGACCTTATTGGGGAATATAATTGTGAAAAGTCAACATGGTTTTTGAAGAAACTATATGAATATCAAGTAAACGGAAATCAAAAACATAAACTTGAGCAAAAGTGATCTTGTTAATAGTTTTCGAGATTGTTTATTGAACACTAACTGGAAGCTGAAGATAGCCAGTAATGGAAAACTTAGTTAGAATCGATGTGTTCTAATTGGATTTCTAGTCTCAACATATAATAAAAAAAAAGTTGGCTAAGAGGCGAGGAGCTTTGAGAGAAAGACTGTTGGAAACAATCAAAAAATACAAGCCAAGGGAAACTGGTGAAGAACATGTAAGCATAACAGCGGATTGCGTTTGGTATTTTCTCCTCTTGTTCTAAACTCTATTCTATCCACTTTACTCCAGAATTAACTCTAATTCTATCTATAAATTTGCTCTATTAGACCGCAGTGTTCTCATTTCTTCATCGTCTTGCACATTCTAAGGAATCCTAAAGCTCTTTTACGAATTAGCCTAACTGGTAAACTCTGGCCTATCGCCTCAAGCAATTTCACAAAGATGGATTCTCATGCGTTCAGAGAAAAGAATATCCTCAGAGAAGTTAAGAAACATTATCAGTCGCGCTTTATTGTCTGAAAAGCTTCTTCTAGGAAAATACAAAGCTTTGTTTTTCTGTTACTCAATTTGTGGAGAAATTGCAAGCGAAACCTGCACTTTGATCGAAAACACACATGAACCCCAACAATAGACGAAGGTAGCAAACCAATGATTAACTATTGCAAATTATCACATAAGGATATACGCGTCACAGAAGCTTAAGAAAACCATACAGGAAAACGACAAGTATAATAGAGTTAAATACATCTTTAGGTTAAGTCATACATTGAAATGATGGGTTTGAGTTTGAGCAAGATATTGGTTCAGTTCTGCCGGTAGTTCCAGATGCATCCTGCTAAACAGAGTAAAAGGCAGATAAATGTGAAGCATCCCCCAATTACAAGAAACACTCTGCAAATTAGAAAACTTCGACCATCGAAGATATGTAACATACATAACCCATGTTTCCAACTGTATACAGCATTCCACGGGATTATACGGACAACATGTCCAATGATGGAATATACTGTCAGTGCCACAAAATCCAGCTCCACTAAGAGATATTTTTTTACGATGTTGTTCATCTTAATACATTTCACTCACCCATAACCTCCATACCCTCCTCCGTTACCAACAAGACCAAGCACTGAGTATAATCCTCCTCCTCGACATCCGAACATTGATTGAACGATTTGACTCATGCTTGCGATTAAAAGATATTGGTAATAATAATATAAGTTAACCATGTGCTGTGAAGTAGAGAATCTGGAAAATTACACTGAGAAGAATAATGAGGGACAGTCAAATAGATTTCTCATTAATAAAAGCTTTTGATTGAAATGTCAGGATATATATGAACAATCATAGTGAAGTTTTGTTCGAGTTTTGATGGTCAGTTGTTTGCTCATGCACAAACTCAGTTATAGTTATAAGAAATGTACTTGAAGTGACACGATCTCCGAGTAGATGACTACTAGTACATGTCCGCATGAGTACGTGACATTCTTATGAGTATATAAAACTAGATGACTTATTCAAATTAAAATGAGAAATAGAAAAGCATGAAGAAAGTTTACGAACCATCTGTCATAAGGCTCGAAGTACTGTTCGAGACTGAACATTCTCCTCTTTTTCTTCCACCATTCAAAAAGCAAATCAGATAATAGCTTGTTATGCAACCATAAACATCTTTTGTGTCAAATCGTTTACCATACTGATGTTAGCGAAAGTTGTATAATCATTCTATTCATTCTTTTTCTAATATCGTAGAATAGAAATGTTAACTTTACGAGCAATAAGCTTTTTGTTACAGTTTAGATTTCTTTTCAGTTAAAACATTTTTGACCATGCGAAAAGTCAATGTTGTGACAATAATGTGATCTTACACATTTTGTGTTTTACGGTTGGGCCATATTATTACATAATTCGATCAATCCTACATTTGCGTTGTTTAGCCTGTGCTATACAGTTACGGCCCGCCAACTTTTTTTTTGAAAATTATTCAACTTCTCTGCATGAGTGTACCTCAAGCTGATCTGAATCATAGTTTACTCCCATGTATTTGTTCCGTTTCCCAATTACACATCAACAAAATAAGTAGTCTTTATTAAAAAGAAACATTCAAACTATTCATAGCCTAATTTAGATGTTTTATCAACTATATAGACATAGATGAATTGCAAAAAAAGCTTTTTGCTGAAGACTAGAGCCCCACAAGGATGTGTGTTATGTGGTTGTGAAGTAATAATTCATTTATTTAAGATATGCGTGATAATCTGGTTGTTCCCACTTTTTACTTTTGCTTTTGGGCAGTGATGTTGAGAAGTCCACGAGCAGTCAAATGACTTTTTACAGTGCTGACATCAACATCGGATGGGAGCTTGTAGGTACGATGAATCTCACGAGCAATTGTTCCGTGCTCATCAGTTCTTGACTGAAACTTAGTTGGTAATTATAAAATTTCGGTTTGTGATTGATTTTCTTTCAGATAAGTAATCACCTCGTGTCTACAATGGATATGGAGTTCTTGTCCATTGACTTTTACTTCGATTTCGTTGGGAGAGAAAAATTGGACATCAAGCTTAACTTCGAACTTGTCTCCAGTGCTTTGAACCTAAAAAAACAACGAATGAGGCAGTCTTCAGAGTACAAAAGCAATTTTAGACTAGCGGTTCGCAGTTGTCTTTAAACTTCTGATTCACCCCGGAGTGACCTCAGAAGTTATTAGATGCGAGCAATTGGTCAACTGCTGGCGAACTTTACATCTTAAACGATTTATACCTAGCCAATGTATAAATTGTAAGATGTTTTAGAAAACTGAGGAACTGAGAATTTTTTGGTTCACCCACCTGAACTACTCCATCGTGAGATTGGAGAGGCCAGTCCCATGTGGTTGAATCGTGAGTAATAGCGATCTTGGACATCTGTAACGAATCGAATTGATCTTAAAGAAAGGAAATGCTAATAATCTTCTATGAACGAGATCAAATGCGAAAAGTTGTGGATAGGTTTTTAAGTTCAGGTAGAGATGTTTTTATGTTACACTTTGAGGATGAAAGTAAGAGAAACAGGGTTTTCCGATTTTCAGAAGTGATCAGAAAACGCCGGTCGCCACTCGGACGGCCTGGCGAAGTAGCTTTACAGCTAAACTGATGATCAGAAGCCAGCTATATGAGGTTGGAGGGCGGGGTTTAGACTGAAGATGAGAGTGAATGGTAGCTCTCGAGCAGTTTCAACTGTTTCTTAAGAGATAGAAAAGATATCAGATGAGAGTTGCTAAGAGTGCGTACAAATGAAAGCCTTAGATCAACAAATGTTTGCGATGAAAAGTATCTCAAAAAGAATAGGGCAGTAGTATAGTACGGCTACAAGTTTTTATTTCTTGTTTTATATTGTTTCTGAGGCTCATGAAACAACGCAAGGTTGGAAAGCAGACAGTGCATATTGTTTTCGAGGTGTTGGTTAGTTTATAAGAGGCCTGGTTTAGTGAGCATATGTTATTAATCTAGTCTGAAATAAACTTTACATGTTCTATTCTGACCAGAAAACTGATTGAAAGAAAATGCCATTCGTCTTAAGATGTAAAATCTGATTGCATTTATTCGACATTTCAGTAAGGGTGGAGATGAAAAACTCGCCAAGAAAAGTTTTACTTTCAGAAGCCACATGTTGATGTTTAATTCATTGATTGGCTTAAGTTTTACGGAGTAGATTTACTCTTTCTCTCTCTTTATCTCTTTCTCTCTATTTCTCTGTCCTTCTGTCTTTCTGTCTTTGTGGACAGAAGCTGAAGGATAGATCTATTGAACAGTTCCTGTCGAATCTCTTGAAATGGATAAACACTCAGTCATCACGTTTGAGGAAGTTTTCAATTGGTTTTTCGACCTTTCCGTTTAGCTGGGGCTCTATATGTAGGCTTACCACTACAAAATATAATAATGACTTACATAAATATCACTGAAATTTTATCAGTTTTGCCCAAGTTGGTTCTCTCAGTTGTTGGCTAACTGAATAGATTATCAAGAGCAAATGAAACGCAACATCGAATTAGTTTGATGAGAATGAGGAAGAACTTCATTTGAGACTATGTTTTTTATCCTCCCTTCTATGTCATTTTCCAAATATAAAAAAGGGGGAGGAACCTGTCATGAGTAATCAGTATGTTTGTGTCTGCATTACATTTGATATTCATATATTGACGTTCGTCTTATTTCAGTTTGATTACCATTGGGATATTTGAAAAGTTGCTTATTAACAATCTCAGTACAATTCGCACTTGTACCTTTTTAATCTTATGCTCTAACATTCTTCATCTCTTCAAGTCGCTTTTCTCTTAATTGAAATGTTCATTCTTCGTTTGATGTTGCAGGTTATATCTGCCCTCTCACCAAATAGAAATGACACATGAATTATGGATGAAAGTTGGTAGGATTGAACCTATCATGAATAAAGAACACTTGGAGGATATTCTGCAAGCTAGCAAGTCTAACTCATCGCCCAGCTTTGATTTCTTCAATAAACCATACATGATCAGTAACGAACTAAGCACTATTTCAGTCGATGAAAAAGGGACAGCTAAGGCAGTTGGGGTAGGCAGACGAATATTTCTAATCGAACTTTGAAATATAGATTAATTGGGAGCCCACAATGGAATGTGGCGACAACATCTCTGCTTATGTTCGAGAACAGTATGCTTTGGGTTACAAAGTGAATCGTGTGTTTTTTGAACGTTACATAGCGAAAAACGGAGAAATAGCGGTACTAATTTTGAACCAACGTTTCATGAATCTATGTTTCAGCTTAGAGCTATGGTCGCTTTAATCAATAGCGTTCACGAAAAAGTATGTGTCATGGTTCGCTATAAACATTACCTTTATTTTCTAGATAGTTGAATTGGATAAATTAGAAAGCTTCTATGAGCAACAACTAATCGAGTATTTCTTCTCCACAAAAGGAGACTTCCCAGTTGTTGACAACACTAAAGGTAAAAAAACAACAAACGTGAGTCTTCACAGTGGAGCACTATTTGAGAATATTTTTCTTAAGTTTGATCCAGATTATTGCGGCAGGAGTTCATTCCGAAGAAAGCGTAAAAACGAAGACCATATTTTCTTTGGAAATCGACCTGTTACTCGTTCAAGCACACGTAAACAAAAGAAGGAAGAACCAAAAATAAACTGTTTCTAGGTTTTTCACAATCTCAATTTGTTCATTCCATAGATCAGCATTTGAATTTTTCTCAATTATTGTTCATTCCTATCAATAAACATTCGTAAATTCAGATTTCATATCCATGCTGAACGTTAGCTATATCACAACGGGTATAGGAACAGTTACTCCGAGTTTTGTTCAGTTCCTATCATCGTCATACTTCAATTTCTTTTCCTGATCATCTACAAAGAACTAATCTACTTTTGAATTAACTCGAACATTTCTCTTTTCATGTTGCTCTAGTCATCCGTCTAAAAAGCAGAGGAATCGAAAAAATAGTTTAATTGCATCGCATGTAAATACACGTAAGATAGAAAAAGGAAAAATAAATTATTCTAAACTGGCACGATGATGCCATACGAGCATTGAAGAAGATTCCTTTTTATTCCAGAGATTGAGTTCGATCACGAATTAATTACTTGATTTATAACTCTTCTTTCTTTTGGAAAGATTTAACACCATGTTGTTTCATGAAGTCGGTCAAGTGATCAAGTGCTCTATTTCCATTATACTTGATCGGTTCAGTCTGCAAAGTTGAAAGTTGAGTTTGGAGTTTTGTAGACAGAAAACCTTCTTTCCGCTCGGAGCAAAGTAAATAGTTGGGAATCCTTCAACGTTGAAACCTGATGGAGCATCGTTGGCAGTGGCATCGAATTTGGCAAGGATCAAGTTGGGTTGCGTTTTTTGCAATTTCGTGGCTAACTCCTTGAGCTTTGGTTCGAAGGCCTAATACATTACTGAGTTAAGCTGTTAGAGTTTCTCTTACCTTACAATGTCCACACCATGGAGCATAAAACTCAATCAGAACATCTTTGTTTTCATCCAACACAACTTTCTCAAAATTGCTTCCTACTAAAGTTTTGACAGGACCTTTGTCATCCTTAGGTAACGGTGCAGATTTGACATAGGCCTTAGCTTGGCCGGAGCTGACTTTCTTCATGAAAGCTTCCATATTTTCATCGAGTTCCTCGTCATAAATTTCGGGATACATGGGGTACTTCTTGCCATCGTAACCGAATACGACAACGTTATGTTCCAACCCAGAATCACCAAGACCAATCTCAGCTAATTCTTTGCTGAACTCTTCCTCATCAGCGACAGCGAACTTGTATTTGTCTTTTTGATACTATAAACATGATTCAAGTTATTGAATTCGGAACTTTGAAAAAACCTTCTGGGCAATGTTAAGAACTTTTTGTCTCCAGTATTCACTACCCTCACGGTACTGTATGCTGAAGTCAGCATTGTAATAAACAACGACAAGAGGGAATTTGCTGTAGCGAGTAGCAGCGTTAGCCTTAGTCATTTTTCCAACCAGAGGAGCCGAATGATCACGGAAGAAAGAAAGGAGATCTTCAGGTGTAGATCCAACCTGAATGAAATCTGTTTTAGAATACAATATTTCAAACTTTATACCTTGTTATAAGTCCTTGTTTTGGGCTCGAATTTACTATAGAAAAGAGCTGGGTAGAAAATGATTATATCATTTGGTTTGGCATCATATTTCTTGAAAGCTTTAGGATCGGAGGTATATCCCATGAACTTGAACTCTTCACGTAGCATCTCTGATGCATCGTGATAAGCTTCAAAGTTTGTAGAATCTTTGCTCGGGAAGAAGCCGATGATGGTGACGTCTTCTTTGTCGAAGAATCTACAAGGAATGCACTAGATCTGACCCAATCTCTGAACTCACTTTTCAATTTCGTTGATGCCTTTAAGTTCCTTAGCTGCTGGTTCAGCTTGTTTCAACAAGTACTTAACGATTCCAGTTGCTTCACGTGGTCCTTGATAGTCGAACCTTAGAAATTTGAACACTTATATGTATCTAAAAGCAGACGCAGAATACCTTTTGCCACTTCGCATAAGCTTCATAGTAGGATAACCAGACACTCCGTACTTATCACCTAACTTCTTCTCAACAGTAGCATCAACTTTGAATATCCTAATCTTAGATCCTTGGTTTTTCAAGGTACGTGCGGCTTTCTCCAATTCAGGTACTAGCTTCTTGCAATGCCCACACCAGGGAGCATAAAACTCGACAAGTGCCAATTCATGTTCAGCAATAACTTCATCGAAGTTCTCAACAGTGAGAGCTTGGACTTCCTCTGGTGGTGGTTTATAATTAGGATCAATTCTTGGATTTATCCAATCGAGAATTCCTTGTTCATCGCGACCTCCATCATAATCGGTAGGCCCTTCTCCATCCTTCCAGAATTTCAGTGTTGGGTAGCCCTGAACAAATTAAAGATTCTTGATTGACTGACGACTTCTGTTTACTTGAATTTGGAACTTCTTTCCTATTTCAGTTTCGACGGTAGCATCAACTTTGGCCAAAGGAATAGACACTTTGGCAGCTGCTTTCTCATATTCGGGAGCAAGATGCTTACAGTGTCCACACCTAAAAAACTAACATAAAAAGAAAACTGCAAAAACTGATCACCATGGTGCGTAGAATTTAATGAGAGTAGTAGGGTTTTTCTTCAGGAAAGCATCGAAATTTTTATCAGTCAATACAACAACTCCTTCGTCAAGCTCATATTCCAGTTCTTCTTCTGCCTTGTTCGAAGCGAAAGACAGAAAGAAAAATATGGCAAATACCTGCCACCTCATATTGACCCTTAAACACAGAATGGATGAGAAAAAAAATTTGTAGAAACTACGACTAGAAAAGAAGACACAATTATATATAATATATCGATATTTCGAAAAAGCGAAGCAAAGTATAATTAAAGGTAGACAAGTCTTACGAATCGTACAAACTTCTACAGCCTAAGGAGGCGTGTACTAAACCGTTCTCCCCAATTCATCAACAGAGCACAGTTTTTAGCATGGAAATGGCTGGTATTTTATCGAAAAGAGATAATAATTATAAAACAATATACGAAAATTTGAATGGGCTAATGAACGAAACCGTCGAGGTTATATATAAAATAACACTTCCTCGCTAGAGTAAACCGCCCGAGTAGGTAGAGTATAGACGAATGAGAAGAATATAAGTTTACCGAAGGCCTATCCCCTGTCTATTTGAATTCTAGAGGGTCACGGGATGGCACCGACGGCTCGCCAAACAGTTCATCCGGCACGGCATACAGTGGACTATTTGCTTATTAGATGACCTGCCGACTAAGAGAACCATAACTAAAGTGCACAATTAGAAAAAGAAAAAAAATGACTTGAAGATCTTAAAGTCTTATTCAAGTTCTTCAATTAACGTTAATCGATTACTATGACATGCAAGACAACTCGGAAGAAAACTGATAACTGTAATAATAATGTTTCTAGCTTCGAACCGTCATGTCATCAAAAGTATTAAGCTAAACAAATTTCTAAAGGAAACAGTACATTATCCGTTATTTGCTTGACCTCATTATACTATTGGTTGAGAAGGAGAATTGAGCATTCAGAAAACAAAACACAATAAGTCTTGAAATTTATTCGCCTGATTACTATCTATTCTTAATGGAAGAATATATAAAGATTTATTCGGACTCTACAGTGATGGTGTTTTTCACATCTTTCCATTGCTTTCCAGCGTTAACCTGAAATGCAACAATGAGATATACAGAAATCTATTTCAGTTGATGAAGAATGAAGTAAGAAAAGTATTGTTAAAAAAGCGACACTTACGGTATTCCAATAACCATCGGTGGCTGTGTTGAAAGTATAATTAGCAATATAAGCTCCAAAAGCTGTAGCCAGAAACAGAGTAGAGAAACGACGTCCTACAGCGTTATAAAAAGTTGCACCCAAAGACATTCTTAAATTTGAAACTTATATAAAACAGATTGCTGACTATATCAATAACTTAAGACAAAATAAAGTAATATATATTATTCCGAACATGCTTTTGATGAGTTACCTTGGCAGTTCTCCAACCAACCGCCTGCAATTTACTGTAGCATATGTATTAAAGGTCTCGGAGGGAAATTCCGGAAAATGAATTGAAGCAGCCCTTTAATGTTTTCAATTCAGTTGGAACACGGAATTTCCCAAATTTTTTCGATTATATTTGAAATTTTTGTTGTTCCATCGAATTTCTTGACAGTTGAGTATGTACATTTCATGTTCCAAAGCTTGAATAGTTGACTAGAGTTTGTTTTACTGCATTTATCTTGAATTTCTTCACATCATTATTTTTGTTCTGAGTCGTGAACATGAGGAAATACATTCTGTGCTCTTTTAGGGTAGCAAGATGACTAACTCAAAGGGTCTCAGACGCGGTACGCGTTACATGTTCGCTCGCGATTTCCGCAAGCATGGAGTCGAGCATCTTTCAACCTACTACCGTATATACAAGCGTGGAGATATCGTTGATATCAAGGGTAATGGAGCTTTCCAAAAGGGTATGCCCTTCAAGGCTTACCACGGAAAGACCGGACGTGTTTTCAACGTAACCAAGTCTGCTGTTGGAGTCATCGTCAACAAGCGTGTAAAGTATGTTATATTAATAGAAGTGTTGCTATTTCAATTTTCTTAGGGGAAAGATTCTTCCCAAGAGAATCAACATCCGCGTTGAACACATCAAGCCATCTAAGTGCCGTTTGGATTTCCTCAACCGTGTTAAGGACAATGACACTAAGAGGTTTGAATCTTATCCCTATTTGTTTTTATTCGTGTTTTTTTTTCTTAAGAAAGGAGGCTAAAGCCAAGGGAGACAAGAAGCCCCTCTTAAAACGTCTTCCAGTTGGACCACGTGCTGCCCATGTTGTCAGCATTAGTGAGATTGAGACTATCGCTCCTCTCCGTTACGAGATTGTGGCTTAAGTTGTTATTGTTTATAAACTGTTATCAAATTACTTGTTAATTCTAACTGTTACTCTCGGTCATGTATATTTCCATTTTGGGTCCGATGATGCTAGATTAGATTTACTATTAAGAATGTCGGAAAACTAAATGATCAACCCAAGGTTTTGCAAAAATTCCCTGCTATATTTGGGATTATGTGCGTTCTTGCTGTTTCTCAATAACTATTTTGTTGTGTATGAGGAGGTTCAGGAGAAAGATTATCTCAAGGTTGAAATTTCTACGGAAAATAATAATTTAAACCCCTAGATTGCAAAAAATTGTCGAGATCCTATAGCTTATTCCAATGAATCTCTATTCGAGCTTACAAGATGTAGTGTAGATAATTCGTTGTTTTTGAGTTGTGTGAAGGTTTGTTAATTTTCTTAAGCCATTGGAACCATATTTTAGAGCTCGGGTGATGTTTTCTTCCCGTTTTCATTCATAAAAAAAAGGTTCGATCTTACTGGAAGAGTTGGAAAAGGTGGTTGTGCTCATCTTGCAGTTTGATTTTCAAATTCTAGATGATGTTTTTGAGTGGGTTACATCTTATGCTAAACTGAAACTACCAGAAGGCGTTTATGACCCTCAGGGTTCTTTCGGTCATTTCTCTACTTACAACGTCGAAAATAGAGACAGGGTTAAGTGTATTAGTGGCGATACAGGTAGTCTAGCTCACCGCTCCAATACACATTTTACTTTGAAGGAGTTCCCATGTCGATTCAATGGAGTTCAACTCCATACTATTATCCAATCCAAATAGCTCAGTATGGTTTGCAACATTACAGTAGATTTAAAACTGGTATGATATCGAAGTGTTTCTTTCTTCGAAAGTCGCATTCAGCCAACACAAGTTCTAAATCTGTTGTGGTTGGAGAACAAAGTAAGGAGTGGAATGGGTCACCTGGTGAAACAGACTCAAGTGAGCGCATATTCTATCAGGACCCTGATAAGGGTGCAATAGTTAACATCACATCCCCAGGTACTCCGAAGATTAGAGCGAGGTAATTTCATTTTATAGGATCTCTGAAAAGTCCAGGATGCTATTTGTACCTGAATGAAGATCCCGAACTTCATTTCATAAATTTTGAGTGGCTTCCTTACTCAAATAGCTCTTTTACTATTCTGGTAACTCTTTTCTGTTGTGGATTTATCGTTACTTCGTCCATAGGTCAAAATTCTCAGAACGAATTCAGTGTTACTTTTGAACTACGTGGAGGGATCAGATAGTCGTTGTATATGGTTAGAATCGGAGGACAAAATAGAAGATCAAGTATGTTGTTAATTTGTTGTTCTTTTGGAAATTTTCACAAAAATGAAAATCTTTATCTTCAACTTCAGCTTTCCTTCAATATAGCCTTGGGAACATTGGAGAGTAAGTGGTATGTGATTACTAGAGACGTTCTCGCCGATGTCAATCGCGCTCTATCTTCAATATACGGAAATAAGAAGAAGAAAGATGAGAATATGACCACACTTCATGCATGTTGGTTATTGCCTAACTATCTGATTCAACATTCTCATTCAGCTGAAATAAAAATTGTGACCATTGGTTTCCGTGGTTACTGTTGTGTCAAACAGGCAATAGAGCAATCTTCCTCTGCTTCCGAAGATTCTTTTCTGAAAGCTGCAGAGTGGTTCAGTGAAAACCAAGACTCCACAGTTGGAATGATAACTAATTTCGGTTCTATTTGTCTATTTAGGGAGGCTGGCCGGTCCCCGTGGAACGTTCTATTGCCGAAAAGCGTTTGGTTTTACCTGCTGGATGGCATTCTGCAATGGCCCAGGTGAGTCACTGTAGAAAATTCTTGAGTATCATAGAATTTAGGGTCATGGACTATCTCTGTTGTCGCGGGCATTCATTTATACGGGTGATAGGAAGTATTTGGATGCCTCGATACGAGCTCTGGATTTATTTGAGAAGGTTTTTCTTGATCACATATTTTTCACGGCTAAATTTCAGCCTGCCAGTGATGGAGGAGTATTGAATTTGTTTTTTAATCATTCATGGTATGAAGAGTATCCTACTAGTCCGGGAACCTTTGTTCTAAATGGATTTATGTATTCCTTAATAGGCTTGTATGATATGAGCTCTTTGAAGAAAGATTTCGGTTAGTTTTTTGTTGTGAAGAATCTCTAACGAGTTTTAAAGATAATACAACTGTCGCCTCCGGTGTTGGTAAAGCAAAGCACTTGTTTCAAAAAGGATTTGAATCTCTTAGGTGTGTTATATGTGAAGTTTGATATTTCACGAACGTTCATTACAGGGAGCTACTTCCACTTTTTGACACAGGAAGTGGTTCAATTTATGATCTGCGTCATGTTGGCCTTAAAACAGTTCCAAATTTAGCAAGGTTTTTCATCAACTGCTATCGAAATGATCATTAATTTTCTAGGTGGGACTATCATGCTGTTCATATTTATCTTTTGAAATGGTTAGTGAAGATCACGGGTGATCAATTTCTAGATTCCGTCGCAGATAGATGGATAGGTTATACTCATGGCAAACGGGCCAAACACAATTGACACATATTTATATTAATCTTGTTTTTTTCCTGAAATAACTATCACTCATTCCATGTACAGGTTTCAATTAAAGCAGAAAATTGAATTATTTTCTGTTAAAGTCCTATGCTTCTAATTTCCAGGCTTTCACGTTCAGATGTAAATATAAGTGTTATATGAAAGTTTGAGTTTCGCACAGAGATGATATAAAACTTGTTTTTCACGTTTGTTGTCTCAATATAGTTGTCGTTCTTATGTTATCACTTTACAAAGCATAACATCAAGGTGTCCGTAACAACTTTCGATTGCCAAATTCATTTCATAAGTCTGCGGCACAGCAGTACAGCAATCGAATAGAATGCTTATGAAGTCAGGTATATCGAATCTTTTCAGAACTCTTATCTCGACAACTAGTTATGATATAATCGGCGTGTGTCTTTCATGCAATACGAGAAAAATGAAAATCTTTCCAGAATGATAAAGATGAATTTAGATACAGCCATATCTTCCTATCGCCTACGAAACGATAATTGAGAAACTTGATCATTGCTTTTATTCCTCCAACTTTTCAAAGATTCATTTTTCTCTTCAGAATTGAAGTCGAATAAACTGAGTCAACAAGGTGAAATCATTTGATTTTTTCACTTTTTTTTTTCAATTTCTTTTCGCGATATTCATGCAACATACCGACATAAGCTCCTCTTTTGAATTTCGTTTTAGAATTATGGAAATAGAGAATGTATTCAGTGCTCAGTTCAACATCGCCATTGTCAGTAACCTATTTTTTACAGTTTGTTAGAAGTTGCTGCATATGGGAAACTTCAGAAATAATGTCTGGATACGGGAAATTCGGACATATTTCAAGACATTATGGATCATAATTGCTCCCATGATTCTCTCACCTTTAGCATTTTTCGGAACTGTAAGGTTTACTAAGACTTCATGTTAGTTCTAGATGATCTCAATGCTTCTGAGCCGGGGCTACGAGTAGGAAATGTGATCAAACAAGGAGCAAACTATTTCATTTCTTCTCAACGAAGTTTAGCAAAGTTATAATCATCTTTCAGGAGGGAAAATGTTGCTACTGTATTTTCTTAATGTCATGCTACTGGGTAGTAGAAGTAGTGCCATTAGCTGTGACAGCTTTCCTACCTCTAGTTATTTTACCATTTATGGGTGTACTCCCTATAAAGAAAGTTGCTTCATCGTATCTCAGTGTAAGTGCTATGTCATTAAGTTAATAGTAATCTAAAGGTTCTAGGACACAAATATGCTATTTGTTACCAGCCTCATGTTGTCAGTTGCTGTTGAAGAATGTCGTTTGCATAAAAGGATAGCTCTAAAGCTGTTAACATATGTTGGAGCTAAACCTCAATGGTATGAATATTAAAGTTCTGTCAGGTCATCCTCATTTTAAGGCTTATGGCTGGGTTTATGGTCATCACTTCATTTATGTTTGTTTCAATTTCGCTAGTTCTATAAACACTCGTATAGATCTTTATGGATATCGGATACAGCTTGCGCAGCATTGATGGCGCCAATCGCATATGCTTTACTGGAGGCGATAATGATGCACAAAATGAAAAAAGTTAACGTAATTGTAAGATACTAAATTATTTAAGCACATAACGTGTTTCAGATAGAAAATACACCAAGTGCAGGGCATCAAAGTTTCGACGAAAAAATAGAGATGTAAGTAGTTTGGAAGAGAGAAACAACCGTTTTTTGCGAAGTAAATACGAAAATGATAAACCGTGCTCAAGTTTCACTAATCAAAATCGATTGAATGTTGATTTCAGGGAAGAAGATAAACTGGACGTAAGCAGATTATCTACCAGAGATCAAGGTAAAGGTTTCAGTAGAAGAAGAAATTATGCATTTTGATTAGGGATATGTAAAAGTTTAATGCTCATAGTATCACATGCTTCCCTTATCGGAGGAACTGGAACTATTAATTCAACTGGCCCAAACCTTATTTTTCGAGACACCTTGGAGAAGTTTGGCATGGTGTATCACACAAAATAAAATTATACTTAAGATTTTATCCAGGGGAAGATACCCAAATAAGTTACTTATCATGGATGCTTTTCGCTATTCCACCGATGATTGGATACATGCTTGCTTCCTGGCTCATCGTACAGGTAAGTAAAACAGTTTATTCTTATAATAGTGCTTATTATAGATCCAGTTTCTGGGACTCAAACATATAATGAACCTTTTTTCTGAATCCACAGAGGAACAAAAAGAAGATGAAATATATGCCGAAAAGGCAGTGCACACCGCATATAATGACTTAGGTCCCATGACGTAGTTTTGATTTCATGCTTTCGCCTACAGATATTTTCCAGATTTGCAGAAAAATCCACCTTGACTATTTTCATGTTAACTGTAGCTTCATGGATAACGAGTGACCCTAAGGTGATTCCAGGCTGGACTTCGTTTTTCAGAAAGTAAGGAATCAGTAAAAATGAGCTGTTTATCAGAAATACTAGGGGATACGTATCGGATTCCTGTACAGGGATGATTTCGGTGTTCATGCTTTTCGTTTGGCCTCGAGAACGCCCAGATTTTGCATTTTTCCGTCCAGTAGAAGGTAATTACTGGATCAGCTACTATAAACACAAATAATTTGATTCAAATTCAGAATTAGGTCGTTTTTCAGGACGGTCAAGACCTTCCATTAACCGGGAAGCATTACTAACTTGGGACACTGTGAAAAAAAAATTTCCTTGGTCTGTGATTTTGCTTTTAGGCGCTGGTTTCTCCATTTCGGAAAGCGTCAAAGTAAGTGAAATCAAATCTTGTATTATTATAATCGTGTTCCAGGAAAGTGGGCTATCAGCTCTGCTTGCATGTAGTTTGGAAAGCATTCTTCAATCATTGCCATTTGTCATAATGCAGATTCTTATTGCAATTATAGTTGTCGTAATGACAGAGTTTTCCACAAATTCAGCAACAGCGAGTATATTCATACCAATATCTTTCAATATTGTAAGTTTCATCTATAAGAATTTTCGAGCATTATGACATATTTTAGGCTGAAAAGGTGCGAGCCCATCCTTTATATTTTTCTATACCTGCAGCGATAGGCCCTTCGTTCTCCTTTATGCTTCCTATGGCAACACCACCCAATGCAATTGTTTATGAAACGAAAACTATGACGATGCTCGATATGGTAATAGTATTTGAATAGTTTTTTGAATCATTTTTGTTATAGGTGTCATGCGGTATTTTTCTCAACATAATCTGCATTCTTATAACTGTGCTGAACATGAACACATACACTTATTGGTTGTTTGATATGGGCACATACCCCAGTTATGTGCATTCATATAACAATACTGCAGTTTGTTAATTGTACAATCAACAGTTCAAATTTATGAACGAGAATATTATGTTATCGCAGCATAATAATAATAATTGTAAATACTGTATTCGTAACAAATCACTGATACCAAGTATGTATGAGACCAACGTGGAAAAAAATGACATTACGAGAAAAGCATGCCCCAATGACAAAGGGCGGTGAAGTAAAATTTCAAATGCGATAATTTTCAAATCACTTAGATCCACCTCTCTCTGCTTCTGTTAATCAATATCTTCTACATAATAGGATCTATTGTAGTTGTAGCTAGTTTCGCATAATGGTGAGGTTGCCACCAAAGAGGGTTTGACCTGTCTGCTCCATGCCAATGACCTTCAATATATGTGTTAACTTCTGTATTTCTTAGCTAGTACGTACGAACTATATCGTGAATTGTTCTTGTCGGGAAAGGTAGAGAAGACTGCAAATGTTTTTAGTTGTAACTTATGAGTTTTGAGATATACTTGATAGTGAGGAACCAATTCCCTAGCTCGCCAAAACTGATGAACATTTAACATCAGAGTTCCTTCAGAGTATTCTATGCATATTTTATAAACCTTTCGGAGGTTGATTGATTTCGAGATAGATAGTTTACCTTGCAAAAAAACTCTCTTTTTTTAACTTTTTCCAATCGTACCCTAGCTTTGTTTTCTTCGCACTTCTTAGGGTATTCAGCATGGTTAGGATCGCAGGGATGTCTGAAATGTCATTTTTTCTGCTCTTTGCATTACTTACCTATAAGGTTTCGGGAGCATGTTCTTCGAGATTTTGAATGGGCTAGCGAAAGGACCTAGTAACACTAGCGAAGTTAAGATTATAGGTAAAAACATACCAATCATCGAAATTCTCTCTCGTCGCTTTATATACTCGTGTAAACACTTTAAGAATAAGTGAAACTGGTACTTGGAATTGAATGGTAATTATAACCAGATGTTTTGAATTTTTGGCGTTGTTCACTTATAGGTCCTTTTCCCAGTCTGCAAAAGGCTCCGCTTTTTTGGAAGTAACACTGCCATTCGCGACTCAGAGTTTTGCGATTATAATTACTAAAGATAATGAGGGACGGGGTAGCAACTAAGCTGGAACATCAAAAAAAGTTTAGCTTACAATGGTGGTTTTCTAAGGCGTTAGACCTAGTAATATGGGATGTTTAATGGAAATGTTTTCCCGTTATTTGATTATTTTTTATCGATTATTTTGCTGTATTCTTATAAAAATTAAGGAAGAAATTGTGAGCATATAGTTTAAGGATGTCAGACTGTGATGAGAACGACTTGGATATGCTCCTTGACACTCTGGAGGCTGATCTAGACGGAAATGCGGATGTTGATTTTAATGACGATGAATCTTTTGTAACCTGCACTTCAACTCTGGACAGGTTGTAGTTTGATTCTGAATAAAAGTCAGTTTTTTGTACAGAACAAATGCTCCTTCAGTCGATGGGACATTTTGTTCAGCTGTATCATCTCTAACGGACGATTTATCTTTTCGGACAGTCAATGAAGACCTGAATGACGTTGAATAATATTGAATTCCAGCATCACTGATTTCTTTCTAGACTGTCGGAGATCCAGGTACACCTGAAAAAGAAATGGGCTCGCTAATGGAACCAAGTAATATAATTTCTGTTGTTTTACGATGCGTCGTTGGTTGTGCAAATTCATTATGAGAGTTCAGATGTACACGGAGGAGGACATACCAAAAGAGCTTCGAAAATAATCCCTCTAGACTTTTTATGTGAAACCAAAGCAACTGAAAAGCTTACGTCTGTTCTCTTCGGTTCAGATTCTGAGGATGACGACCTTATTGAAAAAGAGTCAGTTTCAAATACCTCAACTAGAGCTTTCATTCATTTTAGGAATTTGAACGAATCTGGAAAATCTATAAGCAAATCTTTGAAATCAAAAAGTAGAGAAGAGGAGTTAAGAAAACCTCTCCCTTGTCCAGTTCCGTTTTTCCATATGTACCTTATCATATTTGCTGTTTCAGTCTGCCTATAAAACACCAGTTGTTCACAAATCTGTTTTAACGGGATTAACTGATCAAAACTCTGTTAGCACAAAAACGGTTGCATTCGATAAATTTTTCAGTATAAGAATAAGGTTGTTTTGATCTTATAAAAGCCTTTGTACTACGTGAATACTTCTCAGAAATCCCAAGATTAGCTCAATAGCGTTCGAAACGCTTACCGAAGGTTTGAAAAAAGTTAGAGCATCTGATGTTCGTCATGGAATGGCAGGTACGTTTCGGTAGGCTTTGATCAGACTGTTTTTTTTTTTTGAAGATAGGTTTGTTACTATCGGTGTGATCATAGACAAATCAGAAGTGCGGAAAAGTGCAAACGGAAAAGATTATTTGATGTGGAGAATCCATGATTTGAAGGTTTTGCTCAACTCTTCCGTTGTGATTCAAAGTGTTTTTTTGCGTAGGACTGTCAGACTCAATCTTTAAGAGTTTTGCTGTTCGGTGAATGCTGTAAAGAGTATTGGAAGCTACAAGCTGGTACCTGCGTTGGTTTACTAAGTCCAGAAGTTGGTGATCAGCGTGATGTTAAAGGTATGTTTTTCGCTATTAACATTTTTTCATCAAAAAGCTCCAATTTAGATAAGCAAGTAGCTGTCAGGGTTTTCAAAAGAGCGCAAGTAACAGATTTAGGTTTTTGTCCCAGTTACGGCATTTGTAAAGTGAGTTCGGCTGCGAAACTGTTTTTCAATGTTACAATAGAGCATCAAATCTGATTCAATAAGGTGTTCTAACTTTGTAAATTTGGATACTTCGGAGTTCTGTATTTATCACGTAGTGAGCCAAGTAAGGTCTCTGTCTTCTAAAAGAGGTTTGTGTTTTTTCCAATAACAGTTTAATCATTATGGCTTTGAGGTACATTTAATAACATAAGCGGCGCTCCAACACGAAGAGTACAAAATGCACCAACTCCAAACGGTCTTATGCTCAATAAGTTCATAAACAAATAGTTTCAAATATATGTTGTTGTACAGAATGTCGCAACAACAAGTTCCTGGCTCAAAGCCCCGTCTTGGCTCTGATAGTATGAAACCATCTTCAACTTATACTCCTATGGCTTCTACCGCGAAAGTAATAAACAAAGCAGAAGAAAAAGAAACGTTGAATAACTTGATGTCCACAAGAGTGAGATTATATATACTGTTAGACATATTTTTTTTCATTTTACAGTCGCATTTGATGGGAGCAAGGAACTTGATAAAGCTGTCTCAAGTTAAAGATGTCAAGCCGGTGGTTGCTGTTCGACACTCATCGATGGCTGACTTCATGAAAGACAGAATGGTTTCCCCGGTGTTATTAAATTTTTATGTGTTTATACTCAGAGAGCTGAAGTTGATTCTCCGCGACTTGGTCAAGGTTACTCAAGAGGATCTATTATGTTAACAGGGAATAGTAGACGTACCTCAGTGGATCATGAAGCTGCGCGGGTGCGTGAGAAATTTGAAAAGTTCTATTTTGTCTTCAGAAAAGAGCAATTGAATTGTACAAAAGAAGTAAAGAAAAAAAAACTGACGACACTAACAAAGCAAGTACGCAAGGAATAAAACGAAGCGCAACAGGTATTTGGTGAATGTTTTAATAACTTCATTAAAAGGTTTAAGACGACCCAAGCACTCCATCGAAGAAAAGTAAAATAGGATCTGCCAGTAAAGAAGATATCGAGAAAATACTTAAGCATAAGTTCTTGTCTGACAAGTCTGCTGATAGGGTTTTTTGACAACAGTAGCAAAAGTGAATAACAGTCATGTTCTATTCAGGAAGAAAACAGTTTGTTGGAAAGTCATCTGGATAAGTTGGAGAAAAAAGAAAAGGTAGAAAATCAGATAACATCATGTATGTCTTTGAAAAACGTTAAAGTGTTCACTTGTAAAAAGGTTGGTCTGTATTTTTTTCAATTCCTCTCGAACTTTTGCAGTGTAACTATACAGCTCAGAAAAGAAGTGAGTTGTGCTTAAGGAGTGGGCACGCTGTTGTGGAACATCTGCAAGAAAAACGTTTTTTCAAATGTAAAGTTTGTAACCGTCGAGAAATTGCTTACGGCTTCCTACCAAGCAAAGCATGCCAGGTTTACTTCTGTAATGTCTTAGCTAGTACAAGGTTTTTTTGAAGAATTGTAATAATAACGACTGGGAAAGAGTTGCACTAAGGGACGAGAGGAAAGTCACATTGGAAAACGAAAATCTGCGAGTTCGTGGCGAAGAACAAAAATTTATTAACCGATGATCCAACAGGATTTAAAAGCACTAACTATTCTATATGTTTTAAACGGATATTTTATTAGATTTCTTTGTCACATTTGAATATGAAAGTTTAATGAAAACTAAAGTAACATTCTTCGTTATCGCATGATGCCTTAACCTAACCCATTTCAAACAACTCAACTGTGGGGAGCGGCTGAATGTCTTCGAATAGGTGATAAAGTTGAATAGTAGTGTCAGTAGATTTATTTTTTTGCAGATTATCATCATTTTCTGAGAATGGTATGAAAAATCCTTCATTATGCGCGAGCGCAGTTGTTTCAGATATTAAGGCTCAGAATGACAAACTTCCTCATAACAATATGATGCGAACCAAGAACTTCGACCTATCTGGGCACTTTGTTAAACTCGTTCACGCGAAGGGTTTTGAGAAAGTTTCACTCACTCAGCTATGTGAAGTTTCTCAAGCTATCAGAGACGTTTGCTCATTATGATTTCTCTTAACTTTTCTTGCAGCATGTTGAAGATCAAAATTGTCCAGATGTGATCAAACTGTCGAATTTTTCGGAGAGTAGCGTTGAGTACATTTGCGGATACATTCGGGGAAAGGCTTTGAAGGTTTCTGGATATAAACTTTTCTCAATATATTTCACTATAGGAGAGCATGACATATTCTATGCTTGGTGAGCTCATAAGGCTATGCAAGTTACTTCGATTACCAGAGTTGCTCAAAAAGCTGGAGGAGGTTCGTTCGCTTCATCTGATTTTAGAAGTTCAAAAAACGAGTAAACATAATATAGCAATTATACGAATCATGTAAATCTCCTGAAAATATCATAGAAACATTGATCGTGCTCAGTTTGGAAAGCGTTTCTGAGCAGGTACACTCAACTTTGATCCTTCAAAATCTCACAAATTGTAGATGGAGACATCAATTTATAAGGTCGCTTCGGAAAAATTTATGGACATTGTTATGCATCCGGCGTTCGTTTCTATCCCACCGAGTCAATTGATAATTCTTTTTAGCAGGTAAATGTTATATTCGAATAAAAATTAAAAAATGATGCATTTAGTTGCTACATCAAAGTGGAGAGGGAGCTTGTTATTGTTGATTCTATCTTGTGTTGGCTTAAAGAACAAGAGACACCAGAATATTTTGCAACCCTACTGCTTTCCACGGTATGACAAGTGGTAGTGTTTAAGAATTTGTGTCTCAGGTTAGGACAAACAAACTTACTAATACGGACATAGAAGTAATCCTTGAAAGAATTAAACTACTTGCGTTACCAGAAATAGTTAGTTTACTATAAATTTTCATTGGTTTTTATTACTAGATATTGTCACAAGCGGAAAGAATATTCTCCAGCGACCATGGAAAAAGAATGTGCCTTCTCGAACAGCACGTCACCGGGAAGTTGGTTCGTTGTGGAACTGATAATCATAATACCATGAACGGGATTAACACTATGCCATTGAGTGTACGAAATGGAGAGAGGAAAATAGGCAAAAGTATGTTTAATTAACGGAATTAGCAAAAACTATGTTGTAGACGAAGAGTGGTTCAATAAAAACGTTACAAGCAAGAGTAAATTAGCCAAGGAGGTACTAAGTGAGTAACAGCAGCATGTATAACGTGTGCTTTTCAGAAATATAATGTCTGAGATAATTATTATTGACAATTTAATAAATGTTGAACAGAGTTCAGAAAAAGTTCTGAATAACAATAACAATAACGATCAGTTGTCTCCGACTCTTCCACGCGTTTTGAAGAGTCGTCTAGCTTTATTAGAAGAGTTTTTGCAACGTAAATCAAATCTTCTTCTATAGCGTTCAATGAATTTCAAATCTCGTGCAACTTGATGAGCTTGTTTACCTGTACAAAGCGTGAATTTAAAATACTCGATTCTCAATTTCTTACCTGTTGTATTAGTCCATGCCAGAGCGGGAAGTAATCCTTTAGCTTTGTCGATTGCGGAACGTGCACGCACTTGATTAGGATTGGAGAATGGGTTCATATACTGTCGGTAGTACACCATGAGGGATCTGTGTCCGATTTTTGCACCGGAAGGGAGAGATAGAGTCCACCCATCATCATAAATTACGTCACTAGGAGCGCTTTCCAGTTCCTCATACATTGGGCTACGAAATAAAGAGTAAATAAACCTGTTATCAAAAACCAACCTATAATCGTAAAATTCTGCTAACTCCAACATGCTCTCAGGATCTCTTCTAAGCTTGCAGTGCTCTTTATCTCTCATATGTTTCTGACAATCCATACTGTTGGTATATCTCGCTTTGAAATCTGGGCAGTAAATGCAACATCTTCCCGCACCAACTTTCAAATCTGTGAAGAAAGTATTAACCATTTCAAATTTTAATTCAGTTAACTAACCTAAATACCTCAACAACCCCTTTTCGTCAGTTAGGTATTTTTTATCTGGGATCAAGAATCCATGATGGAATCGCATATGTTCGAGCTTTCCTTCCACGGTAGATTTGACAGTTGGACAGAATAAGCAAGAAGTAGCTGGCAATGCCTATTATATCTCATTAAAAAGTTCCTAATACGAAGAGAACCTGCGATTCATCATAATCATAGCCGTCATCTGAACCATTATCAGTTTCCCATCCAGAGCTATCACCGTCATCCTCTTCTTCATTATCAGGCTCTGCTGTCTGTGCTTTTACAACAGGTACTGGCTATATACGAAATGATCAATTATCAAAGTGCTGATTATACCTGGCGAGTCTTCTTAGACACAGGTTTCTCATCATCATGGCTACGCTCTTGCTCTTTATGCTTTTTGCTAGCGATATGGTTTTCAAAAGCATTTTTTGACTTGAGAAGCTTGCTGCACACTTTGCAATAAAAATCCTCTTCAGTAGTCTTGCTCAGCTGGAATCATCGGTTATATAAGCGAATGCCTTGACATTCAAACACCTCTTTTTCTTGTTGAAAACTCAAAACCTTCTCACGGAACTGTTCAGCTGTTACTGGGGGAAGTTCAGCAACCTATCAACAACCAGTATTTAGAGCTTTTTGCAACTTTCTCACCTGTCTTTTCATGTTATAACGATGCCAATCAGAACGATAATGCTCCCTCTGGACTTCCGAATCTCGGAACAAGAGATGGCAAGTGACACACGTGAATCCAGACTGTGGATCCATCTAAAGACACCTATTGATTAGATGAGTCGAATTGAGTTCAAGTATAATGATTGTTGAGACAAGCAATTATTAGATTGGAAGAAAAATCGAAAATTTCTCATAACATAACAACATAGGATAACAGTATAACAATTCAAAAACAATGGGTAAGTTAAGCTTTTTGCTGCTGTCTAGCTTCAGTCTCTTCTTCATATTCGATTTCAATTTGAGGACGTCGCTTAGTGACTGCCTAAAATCAAAAGATGATAAATCGATAGAACTGAATTTAAAAAATACCTTCGATTTAGCCGATTTCTTACTAACTTTCTTCTTCTTTTTCTTAGGAGGTTCTTCTTCCGAATCTTCAGCACCACTTCCTTCACTTCGCTCATTTTCATCCTCTTCCATTTGATCATCGTCATCATCGCTTTGATTCCCTGTCCATTCTTCTTCTTCGCTATCGGTGTCCGGAGGAGTCCAATGTCCATCTTCGATATCTTCCTCATCCGAAGATTCAAAGTCTTCCACATACTGTCTCTCTCCGTTCTCCTAAGATAAATTTAAAACCTTTAACAAAACATCAACACAAACATCTTCTAATTCCTCTTCAACTTCAACATTCTGCTCTTTCTCGCTTTCTTCAATAAGCTTATCAAATGCCGCTTGGTTGAAATTATACATATCTCCATAAGTTCCTTGCCTGAAAATATAGCTTGAACAGTATAAAACAGCGAACAAACTTCAGACGATCGAGCAATTCCTTCTCGATAGCATTTTCAAGTTTAGCAGCAATCAGAGCCTTTTCTTCTCTTCGCTTTTCTCTTCTTTCTACCTTACGCGGTACTGTGATTATTTTTTTAGCACTTAAAACAATAGTGATGAAGTAGACTGGAGAGATAACTCACGTTCCCTTCAAAGCCATTTTTCTCATGCGAATCAGATACTGGTGTATTCTGATCAAGCGTGCTTTACATTTTTGACGCACAAAGCTACTCCAATGGAGAGTATGATAATCAATTTGTTCCAGAGCCTAAACGGTTCATGCTTTCGATGAAACCAGCAAGAAAAACCTTGGTCATATCGCGAGATAACTTAATTTTTTCCCAAAGCCTACGTGGATAATGACTCCTTTCGACTACTTTCAAGTATAGATAGCACACTCCTTGAAAAAAAAGTTGAATAAAGTTTTTTGACTGGATGATTTGCCTTCTTCTTCTCTGACTGTGGCGTACTGTGAATTAGCTAATGGACAGGCAATCCTACTGCAAACTCCAGTCAAATTGTACTCGTTTCGACAAAACATTTTCGGCTTCGTCCTGTCAAATGATTTGTAAGATTATGAATTAGAACTGTGGATACCAAGCTTTGAAAGAACATTGTCCTTTCTGTATAATAGTCCAAGTAATATCGTCACACTGCATGATTCAATCGCCTGAACATGATATTAAGTATATTCTCAGGTCAACGGTCAACAGTTAAGATAACTAATCGATATTAACGCAAACTCAAAAAATGGTTTCAAAAAATTCATTTAATGAAATAGGAAAATGATGATCAGAAATTAAAACCCATATCTATTCTTCACCCAAAAAAGTTATAACTTTCTTTATACAATCATTTAGAAGCTCAGTTATATCTGTATGATCAACAAAATCTTTATCAACTACGTCGTCTTCTTCATCACTCCACCACATACTTTTAACAACTCCACTATGCCGAGGTTGAATCTCATCCTAAACATAAATTATCATATGGGATCATTTGAAACAATTTTCATAAAGAGAATAAGGACTAGATTGGAACGTGATTGTCACATTTCCTGCTCTATTGCCTTTTCGTTGCGAGACCACCACCCACCCTTTATTGTATTTCATTTACGAGTGGTTGAATTCAAAACTCTCTAGGTTTCCACTTATTAAAACTATTAAAAATGAAACCTACATTGTTTTCTTCTTCGTTATCACTGCATAACACAGAGAAAAAGTTCTGTTGCTTTAACGGAGGCGGTTTTGAGATTACTATAGGTATCCTTTTGAAAACTTTGCACTTGTTCTTCAGCGGTTGCATCCCCTTCTCAGGCATAGGTTCAGCCTTTTTGATCTGATCGTTTGTGGGAGTACTGAATTGCTCTTTTCAGAAAAAAACATAATCTGAGAGACACTCACTTTTTAAGAGTTACTAAACCATGGCTTTTCAAAAGTGAGGGATATTTCTGCAAATCAGTGAGCAAAACCAGGGGAACTCGGACACAACTTCTAAAATAGATTGAAGTATATTAACGTGTATGATTAGCCCACCTTCGTGCAGTGACAATTACGCTCCGTTTGGGTGGGTCGTCCACACTAACTGTGGTCATACAGAACAGTTGCGCATAGTTATGAATGAAACGTCTTCTGTCAATGTGCATCGGTCGGAAAGAATGAGAGAGTGCATCAGAGACAGTGGCCTTTAATACAGGTTAATATATATATGTATCATGCTTATTCCACTTACATCTATGAGACTTTTAGCCAATGAGCAAAAAGTAGCCTCAACTTCATGAACAAAACTAGGATTCTTTCTGAATTCATCCTAGAAAAACATAAGGTTTATGCTTCCGCATGAAAACACTTGCTTTCAGAGTTTCAGTGAAGGTTACGGTTGGTTCATCAGTCAGCCCATCTTCATCCGTAACGATTGAGAGTGCTTCCGCTACTTTCTTATTTCGGGCAACTCGCTTACAATCATCATTGCATGATAAGCTAGAAATATCAAAATAAAGTGTTGTATTGTTCGATTGACTAACCAAGTCATATTTTCAACACTCATAGATCTTGTCAAAACCCCCGGAGTGGGATTATCTTCTGAGATTTCCGACCCTTCTTCTGCTTGTGCTGCAGCTGCTTTTGTTCGTATAATGGATGCCATCATCTGAAGCTTCATGTGTCATTGGATTAACGGAGAATAAACTCGCATCATAGCACTTCATCTTTCCATTACGACGACCACATGAACAGGTAACCTCCACCATCTGCATACATTTGGTATCTGGACAATCTTCTTCTGGATGACAAGGCATTGCGCACGCGTGTTCGCAAGATGATCTAACAGCAGGACATGGTCTCGTGCAATTAACCCCCTCCTAAGTCGAAAAAACTAATAGAAATCAACAACTCGTTTTTACCACATAACATTCCCCAGGATGGCAATTGCGATCACATTTATGAACACCGCAAGATAGTTGTTTTCCACATGGCTTTCCGCAAGAAATTCCAGAGAAATGACACTGAATGTTCTTTCTAACTTCATGTCCACCATAACACTGCTTCTCGGTAAGCACGGTACAAGGTGGACAATCCTCCTCAGTATGACACCTGTGTAGAACGGGGTGTGGGCAAGAATGAGATCTCGTACAAATCCCGTCGCATTGGGGAAGAGATGCACCACAGGGTATGGGAGGATAACGAACAGTTTTTCCGCATTCGCAAAATTGTTCCGTGAAGCCGGTAATAATGAAACTTATAACAGAAAGAGAAATTATCACTTACTAGCATTCAAGCATGGACGACATTGCCCAGAATGGCATATATAGTCACAGAAATGAAGGCCACAACTTAATTTCTTCCTACACAACTGAAAAAAAAATTGCAATATTTCTGTGAGGTAGAAGAAATACCTGTAGACAAGTATGATCAGTAGAAACACAACAACGTTCATTGCATCTGTGAATGCCGCAAGATTTCCTTTTTTGGCATTTATATTTGCATAAAATCTCATTATATTCTGAAAAAATTGGATAAATCAATATAAAAATGACTGATCATGCCATTAGTCCTCGAAGGGACTTCGGAACATCGTATAATCTCCTTTGATTTTCTACAGCGACATTTGATAAAAGCTTCATCTTCGCAGGGTGGACAATCGCCGTTATGACATTGTGCAACGCATCTATGATCTACAAAGAGAAATTGATCTGAACGGGCATGAAAAAACTACCAAAGTTCCCACAGGCTAACACTTTGTTACAAACGTTGGAACAAGTGGGTATAGGATCCAAACATGAATTTCTTTTAATTTTCTTTTCTTCAAAACTCATTTGGCCACATGGGCAAGAAGTGATTCTCTCTACTGATGTTGGACATAAGCCACATCCTTTTGCTGTATCGTGACATCTATATAATATACTAGTGAATTGGAGAGAGATTTGGATCTTATAACTTATTGGCGCAATCATGAATGCCGCAGGAGTACTTCAGAGGACAGGGGTGATCACAGCTGAAACGATCAAAGGAACTCAATCCCGGGCCACATTCCAAACTTCTTTCTTCTCTTCCACAAAAACATACTAAAACGTATCAAGTTAAAATAGGAAGACTTTGAAAAGCTACATTGCTTCAATTGTACTTCACATGGTGCACAATCTCCAGCATGGCACATTTTCTCACATTTGTGATTTCCACAACTTAACGCCTTATCACATTGGTTGTAACACTACAATATAATATGAGTAATAGATATATGTCATGCGCAACCTCGACAGATTGTCCACAACGGACGGACTTGGTAGTTTTACCGCACGAACATGTTTTTGTGACATACGCCGTACATTCCTGACAAGGACCAGGATGGCAAGGCTCATTACATGGATGAACACATCCAACCCCCCTCTTAGCTAGACATAAGCTTTCACAGGCATGAGGCCTATCTCCGCTGAAAATTATGAACTAAAATTAGTTTTAGAAATTACGCACTTTCTAGTTTGGGGATTTCTCAACTTCCCACAAAAGCAGTAATAAGCAGGGACCTGTGAGTATTGAGCCTTGCAAGCGGGACAATTCCAACTGAAAACATAATTGAAAAGTCTTCTAGGAATACACTCACCTCCCTGACTCTTCAATGCTTTTTTTCGCCCAATTCAATATGCATTCTCCACTTATGTGGAAGACATGATAACACTCTTTACATGACCAAACTTTCTACAGAATAACTTCAGTTATCACACAGATATGGGAATAAGCTTACTTGTCGTGGAGTTATATTTTGGAAACATATCATGCACTCGTACTTATTGTTCTCTAATTGATATATAAGTTTCTCTGAATTAATACATGTTTGAATCTATTAAAACAGTGTTGCACCTTTAAAAGTCATAGCGTTTTGGTCTACATGTCGAACATATGGCCTGTGTCTGGGGGTATTAATTACCCTGAATCGGAAAATTAAGCTCAATACAGTATAGTTGAATAACTTATTCTCCTTTTTCGGTGGTCGTTGAGGGTTGTGTCTCGGATTTGCTCTTGAACTCATACTCCCATTCTGATCTGCCACTGATGAAGCAGGAACATCTTGATTACTCTTATTTTTTTTCCTGTTCGTTCGTTTTTTGGCTGGCCTTGATTAGAGATTTGTAATAACATCTTAAGGTACTGAACATACGTTATAGCTGGAAGTTGTTGATTCACTGAATTTCTGTAACAAACACTGAATAATCAAATAATCAAATCAACACAATACCTTTCATCAATTAAGTTTGAGTTATTACTAGGTACAAGCGGAGCTCTAGTTAAGAAATCTAAAGCTTCAAGACCGCTCATGCCATTTGCGGCACTAACACCTTGACTTCCTGTATTGTTTTGTCTTCTCCTTGTTGGCAAACTTTGAGCCGTATTGCTAACTAGTCTGAACCCGTACATCTGATTCAGCTTTTTGTTATCAACTTACGATTCACCGAAGTTCGATCCAGATGGAACAGGGAGGTTCCCCCCAGGATTGTTCGATTTTTTATTTCGACTCTTCCATTTTCTATTTTTTTTTTTAGCCTGAGAAGGCTCAGGATTACTATCCATCTAGAGTCCAAACTTAAACGATAAATGTTTGTTCAACATCAAGCATACAGAAAGAAGTTAAAAACAGATTCAATATTAAAATTAGAAAAATTTATGTTTCATTGTCCCTTTCCATTCATTATATCACCCTTTCATATTGCGCAAATGTGCTACAAGTGAGCGCAACATTGCGCAAGCAGTTGAAAAAAGAATTGGTCCCGTCGCGTCTTCTAGATACAGTACCACTTCATTCTCTGATGGAAAACTATGTTTTTGGTTTTAGGGAGAATTTTTACCACTTTTAAATTCATAAATAAAATACTTAGATTATATTATTATGTCCAGTTTTGAGTATTTTTTAATGTTTTTATAGTTTTGTTATAATCTAAGATGTGCCTGCTTTTTCCTATACTCTGTTTTTTTAATATTTCATTACAATATATCTTTTTATGTGCTTGCTTTTTTTTTGAGTTATTTCTTCATTTTCAAGAAGTCAACATGGGTCGCATGCACAATCCCGGAAAGGGTATTTCCAAGTCTGCTTTGCCATACCGTCGCTCCGTTCCTTCATGGTTGAAACTCAGCAGCGATGACGTGCAAGAGCACATTGTTAGACTCGCTAGAAAGGTTTGTAATTGTGTTGGGATAAATGGTTCGATTCCAAATATCACCAACGCTTGCTGAATTACTCGGAGGGGTTTATTAGGCGCAAATCTCACTACATGTTTCATATTTTGATTTAGGGTATTCGTCCATCTCAAATTGGTGTTATCCTCAGGGATTCTTACGGAGTTGCCCAAGTTCGCCGTGTCTCTGGAAACAAGGTTTTCAGAATTCTGAAGGCTAAGGTTTTTTTTCTAAAAAATGTGTTTAACTTTGCGGATGTAATTACAGGGTATGGCCCCAGAAATTCCAGAGGATCTTTACCATCTTATCAAGAAGGCTGTTTCTATTAGAAAGCATCTTGAGCGTTGCCGCAAGGATATTGATTCCAAGTACAGACTTATTCTTGTCGAGTCTCGTATCCATCGTCTTGCTCGTTACTACAAGAGATCTAAGAAGCTTCCTGCTACCTGGAAGTACGAGTCTGCCACTGCTGCTTCCTTCATCTCATAAATTTGTTGTTAGAAATAAATCTGTTGTTTCTTCAAATCTGTTGCTAGGGGGTTGGGGTTTCTAGGGAATGGGTTTATGCGTTTGTTCGTTGCTATGGAAATCGGTTTAATCGAACATGTCGTCTATGAAGGTTGGTTGGTTATCCTTTTCTAAAAACAAGTAAAACCCTTTCAGTTGCTTTTTCGTAAAACAGAGGTAGATTTGGGTAACGGGAGATGTCTCTTTGCATGGAGACCTCTCCGGAATTCTATAGCTGTTGCTGGGTAAGAATAAAACATGGTGGACGCAGTGTAGTTATTCTTCAGAGCGAATAGATCTGTATACCTGTACGAAAGGAGAGGGGAATTAATCGATGTTCTTGAACTAACAGCGTAAAGGCAGAACTTGAACATCTTGAGTTATTATTATTATTAAGTAAGATAATCGGGATATCTTGGGATTGCGAGGGCGATGTTCTTGCAATCATAACAGAAGGAACTTCTCAATTGTTACTGTGGGATTATAACACAAAACAAGCTGATGTGGTGGATATAAGCATGGGATCAAGGTAGCAAATTGTCAGTGATACAGTGACAATACGTCTTTAGGGAGGTCGCTTCATGTATCACATGGTCTAATAATTCTCCCGTCTTAGCATTAGGTACACACAATGGTAACCTATTCATTTATAATCATCGTACAGCGAGGTTAGCTAACAGAGTAAGGTTTCGATTTGTTTTTCTCAGAAAAATTCCGAGCATTGGAAAACATCAAAGGAAAGTGACTGGGATTGTTATAACTAGACAAGATCAAATTGTTAGTTGCGCAGAAGATAATACTGTTATAGGTATACCTTACAATCATTTGCATGTTGAGCACATTTCATTATTTTAAAGCTATTGTAAAACCTGATTACAGTGTCATCATGCGATGGAGAAACCGTTAATACATATCCAGTCAGTGGAAGCCCGAGCCAATTGGCTGTAGGTGAAATCAAGAAAGGAAATGGATCAACCGAAATTATTGTACGTGGCAACTTTTGAAACTTCAGCTTTTCTTTCCTACAGATTAGCTCAGTGTTAAACAATAAGATTCTTTTCTTCATGCCGATCGACAATGCTGAAGCGCAAACGAACTTGCAATTCCAAGAGAAGTATGGGAATATAGTTTCATACAAATGGTTTGCTTTGAGTAACGTTTGAGTTGTTATCTGTATTATTACTAGGTTTAATGAAGGTTTAATGATACTCGGTTTCGACAAAGGTTTTATGGTTATCATATCGGCTCATCGTTCTGAAATCGGGACTGTGAGTTCTTCAAGTTGGACATCATAAAAATTACATTTTAGGAGCTGAACTGCTTCGCCGAATATAAAAACTATTTGAGTCATACCACAACCAATGATGTTTTCCAGTACATTATCAACATAGGGGATAACCAGTATGCAATATGTAAATGTATTTGTACTCGCATGCTTTTACAGGATAAGAATCAGAGACATGGAGCAAGGTCAAGATCTTCAACTTATGACAGATATTGAAACAGACAAGGGTGAGCCAACGGTTGTTTCTAGTTTACATTATAGTCTTCCAGAGCTGGATAAAGTGGAATGCTCGTCTGATGGTCAGCTTGTTTGCGTTTCCTCCGTCTCTGGTGCTGTGTCAGTTTATCTCACGCGCATGCCTGTGCTTACTGCTGCCAGAGGTGATATCATAGCTATACTTACATCGCTTAGCCAGATCACAGTTCATCGAGAAGGAGATCGGGTAGAGACCTCTCACGACTTTTATAGATGTCAAATATCATATGTGTTCTAGAACAAAACAAGAGTTATTGAAGCAGCTGTGGAACCTACTTTGATAGCAGTTGGACCTTTATATGCTGCTGTTGCAACTAATAATAAGATTTGGTTCTATGAATATCCGAATAGTATATCTAGCATGGTTTTTTGAGCATTATACTCAACAATGCTTTGTAGGTAACACCGGACAACTTGTTCGGGAGTGCGAGTACTTGTCCACCATAGTAAGTGTTTCGTTAAACACGGATTATGCTGCAGTTGTCATGGAAGGAAAAGCAAGACTACATAAGGTATATTGATTGATGGTCACCGTATCTATACTTGTTGTCTAGATTCTTGATCGTGATGACGAAATTTCAATAACGTTCCCAGAGCCATCGAGAAATACAAGGCTCATCTCGGCATGTTTAACAACACACTTTCTGATTTTCACAACGGAAGTAGGATGAGCAACCTTCTATGCTGAAAAAAACTTTTCTTTAAGACGAATTACATCATTTACTTCTCTTTAGAGGAGTGGTCCGTAGTTAGTGAATATCGGCACTCCTCGTCTATACGACATATAGCTCCCGACTCTACAGGATTACGTTGTTGTGTTTTTGATGAACGGATGGATACCTGGGTTTATAGGTATTTCTGTTCATTTACATGCCCTTTCATATTATGCTCAGCCCTGTTGATGACTCTATGTTAAAACTGCCACCCGTTGGTCCGTCCGTTTTGGTATGTTAGCTTTTCTTACATGTTAAAACGATTTTAAGTATACTTCTGCATTATGGGAAACATTCACGATTGATCGTAATACTTTCATCGTTTTTGACACCAACAACGTGTATGTCTTCTTAGTTTTGAAAAGCCAAGTTGAAGGTTTTGCAATTTGCTTGAGAACTGGTTGGTGATGGTTGGTACAATTTAGGTGAATCTTCAGTCTTTATTGGAACGACGAAGCTGCCATATGGTCATACTCCTTTAACATTAAGCAAAGTAAAGCTTGGTTGAAAAAAACAATTTACAAACTTCTTATGTATAGGGGATTGTTCAATGCATAACTTCTGGTGGGAAAGTAAGCGGGGTTTTGTTGGAAAGTCATCGTACCGATACTATCTTGGAGAGCAAGAAAATAGAAGAGGCAGTCTAGATATTAATTATCACCTGAACAGAAATGTTTAGGTTCAAGAGTTGTTGAGCAAAGCGCTTACATTGAGAAGGTTAGTTTAATTAATGTAGTTCCCATGCTCGTAAGGGATCTTCCCCTTGTGGTTGTGGTTGTGTGTGGTTTGTACTTACTGGCACTAGAGTTGGGGTTTGAGATTCTGTTCGTGTTGGGCCTTAAAAAAGTTTTAATGCTATTACCGATTTATATTTGCTACCTCTGGGAAGTTGACTAGGACTTGCATGATCTGAAACAAATGTAACACAACATTATAATCATTATTTTCGTTCTTACTGCTCATTTCCAAAGGTTGGTTGTATCTGTAGTCTGGAGACTGTACAACAGGATTATCTTAAGTAAAAACTGTAAAGAAGTGATTGATTGTTTTTACTTGATCTTGAGGAGTGGTTATTACTATAAAAATCATGATTGTTCAAATTCTGAAGTTTAATTCTGTATTAAACATGAGTTTGGTATGCTAACCGATGAAAACGCAGAGTTGATGTTGTTGTCATTATAAGGCATCCCTGCAGTTCTCAACTTCATCTTGTTGTATGTCTTGTACAAGAACACAAATATTATTGCTGCTATTATCAAACCCTTGAACCAGTGCTATTAGATTTTTGAATCTTCTTAGAAATTCTTACCTCTATTACGGCGACTACGACTGCTGAAGTGTGTTTGTTTACTTTTTGAGTTGTTGTTGTTCTGGCAATAAGTGAGTATGTGAGCGTAACAGTAACGTTTTTGCCTAAATCAGTAGAAGGTTCCGAATAAGCAACATCGCAATTTGTTGAAGATGAAGCTGTCGATATTGGGTTTTTTGAATCAGGTTTGATCGTGATAGTGGCATTGAACGATGCTGTTGGTGTTGGTTTTGGTGTTGGTGTTGGTGTTGTTTTTGGTGTTGGTGGTGATGATGTAGATGGTTCGGGAGTTACTTTCACATTCTTGTATTTAAAAGATATGGTGAGAGTGTCTTTATAAGCAAAGTGTTGGCTGCTCGGCTAAAACATTGCATGAACATCATACGAATATTCGAGAAGCTTACCTTTATAACAAAATAGTCTCGCGTGGTGTTCGTGAACAAAGTGTATTCCAGAACAGTGCTTTTTGTATCGAGCACCTACGAATATTCAGTTTTTGAACAACAATGAATATATTACCTCTATACTATCAATGTCCCTAGTACCATTTGTTGTGAAAACCACTTCCACAGCTTGTAATTGTATATCGCTGGGTTTATCATCAGCCAGGCAGATACATATTTGTAGTATAACGAACCAGACTTTAGAAGATACCATTTGATGATTCACAGTTATGTTTACTCTGTTACAGATGGAATTATGCTTGGAAAGTATGTGAAAGAACAAATCAATTAGAGGATTGGAATCTTTTCGCTCATGCTACCTTGCATGCTTCGGACGTGGAATTAGGTGAAAATTGAAATTATGACACAAAGAGAAAATGCTCAACACGCCTAAGTGAACGTTGCATTGAAGAGAATACATTTTGATACGCTTATCAGGCATCATTCTCGAGGCACTCATAAATCAATACTCAAAATCCTTATATTGTACTTGAAGTAGGATGAGCATGTTCTTCATAAAGTACAAACAGAATAATCACTCTAGCATCACTTTATTACGTTATTTTAACGTTTTTCAAGAACTTTTTCGGTTTTTTACAGCTTTGAGAATATTTCGGCACATCGGGGATGTTTCCATGGTGTTTGCTCTCGAAAGACTTTTACCGATTGAAGACAAGAATCTTCTTGCTGGACAGGTGGTCGGCCAAAGTCTGTCTGAAGTTTCATTCATATTCTGCAGATAGCTGTCTTGTTAGGGCGATTTGATCAAGCAGAAGAGTTATTACTTCGGAGCTCAATGCCAATCGAAGCTTTGAATGTAAGATAACACAGTAATGCGACAAAAAAAGACAAACTTGCTTTCAGTTACGGAGAGATCTACTAGATTGGCCAGTTGCTCTAAGTTTAGCTGAGAAACTTTCTCCTGAAGAAATACCATGCATCGCGAAAGAGTACGCTCAGCAGCTAGAGTTTATGTGAGATTTAAGTTCATACTCTCAGTTTTTAATCTTTATAGTGGTGATTATTCTTTAGCATTAGCGCATTATGAAAAAGGAGTAGTCGAAGCTGATGATATGAACGAGAAAGTATTGCTTTACCAACTGCATTCCATCCTCATACCTGCACTCTTTATAGATAATGGAACATAATGAAGTTTGTCGTGCAGGTGTTGCTAGAATGTCTATCAGGACGGGCGATATTAGAAGGTTGTTTGTGAGATCAGTTTTTTAGTTCGATTTTAGAGGAATACAATTAGCACGGGAGCAAGAAGGAAGGTTGATCAAAAGAGATTGTGCTATAGCCTTAGAGCAACTGAAAGTATTTTTTTAAAATGTGCTTCTCAGTGTATTTTGTTCTTTCAGCAACTGGGAGAATCAGCCGAACTGTATGAGTTAGGACAGTACTATGACAGAGCTGCTGCGGTCTGCTTGAAAGCAAAAGCTTGGGGAAAAGTTGCAGAGCTTTTGCCAAAAGTTAGATCACCCAAAATTCATGCTCAGTTCGGCCGTGTTATGGAGTCCGAAAAAAAATATCAAAAGGCTGCAGTGGTTTGAGACTGATTTTGCTCGGTTTGAGTTTATACTTCAGGCTTATAAAGCAGCAAGAGACTATGATAACTTGGTGAGAGTGTTACTGGATCATTTGGACCAGGCAGAAGAAGCTGTCAAAATTGTTCGAGAAAGCAGAAGTGTTGAAGGAGCCAAGCTAGTTGCAAAGTGATAAATTCCGGAAATATATTTGATTAATCGTTTTTTAAAGGTTTTTCTCCAAATTAGGAGATCATAGTTCTGCCATACAGTTCCTGGTTATTTCTCAGTGTCAAATGGAAGCTTTTCAACTTGCAGAAACCAATGATCGGATGTTGGACTATGCTGTTGCAATTGACGGTATGTTCTTTACTATAGTTTATAGATATAAACCACTTTCAGAATTTGGAACACCTGAGCAATATGCTCAACTCGGTGAATATTTTGCTAATTCGGGTGACATGGTCAACAGTGGGAAGTTTTTCAAAAAGGCTGGTCATTTCAATGCTGTCAGTTCATTACTCATGAATGATTTAAATAATTTACGCATTTATTAAGGCTCTCAATCAGTTAATTCAAGCTGGAGATCTCAGGGAAGCTTATTCTGAAGGAATAGACACCGTTGCAAAGTCAGGAGATCCTAACTTGATGAAAAAGTTTAAAGATTACTTACTTGGAGAGCTGGATGGCATTCCCAAGGTTAGTGAAAATACTTGATACTAAGGTCAGTTGTTTCACAGGATGCTCATCACCTTTTCCGATTCTATGTTGCCCTCAAACAAACTAGAGAAGCTGCGAAAACTGCCATAATAATAGCTGTAGATGAGCAAGAAAACGGAAAGTACACTAAAGCACGTGAAGTTCTCTTCTTCATGTATAGGGTTTGTGATGATTATTATTTTCTTTCCAAACTCGTATTACAGGAATTGATTTCTCAAAATATTCGAGTGCCTATGGAAATGGAAAACAGTCTTATGCTTATCCACTCATATCTCTTGGTCAAAGTTGCTCTTTCTACTCGAAACAAAGAAAAAAAGAGTCATTTTAGGTGTTAATGGGGATGGAACAATGGATGAGAGCTGCTCGACTAATTTGCCGAGTTGTTTCTAATATTAGTCGTTTCCCTGCTCGTAATTTTGTTGCTTGTTTGAGTTCAATTTAACTTTCGTTTTTCAGATATAGTACCGATTTTAACATCAGCTGTAGTTATTTGCTCGAAAGCAGGTCTCCATAATGCAGCTCTGCAAGCGGCAACACAGTTGATGAATCCTTCGTATCGCAATAAAATCGACGCGAAGTATAAGAAAAAAATTGAATCTCTCGTTAGGTTAGTGAAACGGCTTATTTTCTAGATAGCTTCGATGTTTCTGTATCCCTGCTTTTGTTTTTTTCAGAAAAGGAGACAGAAAGAAAGATCCTGAGGACTTGAAGTCACCCTGTTTTTTTTGTCAGGTTTTGGTTACAGAGATGGACTTACACTGCTCGAGCTGCAAAAACAATCTACCTTATTGTATTTTAACAGTGAATAACTATTCATCATTGCTTTATTACCTAATACTTCTTCTAGGGACGCCATATTACTGCTGGCGATTTCGCTCTATGCTCACAGTGCGATTTTCCGGGTTACTATTCTGAGTTCAAAAAGTTTGAACAGGGTACAACATTTTGTATACAAAGATTTTAGACACAACACTTGTCCCATGTGCAACGCTCCCACTAAAGAAGTTATTCCTGGAAGTTCTCAGGCATACATGTCGAAGTTGAAACATCAAACAGCTCGAGATTAGACGTTTCTGGTTGCATTTGAGATATCATCATGAAGCTTGGTTACTATGATCTCAATTTTAATCAATATTTGGAAGACTGAAATCAATGAAGAAATTATGGCATGATTTGTATTTGTTGATGTATCCACTCTATCACTCTTAGCGAACAAATTCAATTACTGAAGTATAAAGCTCGATTGTTTCTAAATGCTGGACATTATCAATCGAATTGTACCAATTATTTGAACTATTCAATGTTGTAGATTTAGTAGAGATTTCGTTGTCTGTGAGAGCTAAACAACAGAATGGGTGAATCCCCTCCGATCGATGCCAGATGGCAGAAAATGGATAGTTTTTCCAGGATCAATATTGAAATTACACATTATTCAATGAGACGCGGCTATAAAGCGTGGACTATTGCGCATATATTTGCAAGAGTCTTTCCATTTATCGACTTTACTTTCTTATTCAAACCAATAATTTGAATGGATTGAGATGACTCTGTCATAGTGTTCACAGATAACACGTATATAAACTTGTTTTTTTTTCATTTTCTCTGTTAAATCATAATATGAATGAACACAGCTTTAATTCTCAGAAATTCTAATACCAATCGAACCAGCTCTGATTGTTCATTCGTTCGTTTTCTCATTCATTTTCGAATCACTTTATGATCATTTATGCTTTATAAGAGTTATAGTTGTACTCTATACAAAAATATCTGTCGTATGCTGTTTTCGCATCTTCTGTGACCTCTCCTTGTTGGGCTAGGTCACCAGGAGGAGGCGTCTTTCCTCATTTGCTACTGAGCTATATCTTCCTATGTTTATTGGCATCCTATCTTTTTTTAGCATTTCAATAAACTCCAGTATTGCGTTTGTAAGTTGTAGCCTGAAGGCTAGTATAGAAAGTCGTCAGGGTGTGTGTTGACCCATTTCGCGTGAGCTAGTTAATAATGACGAGAACTTCACCGTTTCACCAGCATCTTCTCTTTTTTTTTTCTTGGATTGAATGCATAAAACTGTTTCTGTCTATTTATCAATCGTATTCTTTTCATATAATTACGCTTGCGCATGCTTGTTGTACTTAATAAACCACTTTGAAGCGGAATTTACACATTGTTTACTGGCTTGGTCATTATCGATTGTTTTGCAAAGTTCGCGTTGTCTTCTACTATCTTGTTCATAGTATTGGTTTTTTTATTATTTTTTCAGCAGTTGATTTGAAAAATGACCGAGGAAACAGTAGTTGAAGGTGATCTTACTATTGATGCTAATCCTGACGTTGTTCCCAATAATGAGGAAGATAAGCCTACAGTGGATGAAAACGAAATTATTAACACCGAAGATTTGGAAATGAAAGATGAAGTTTCTTTTTTCCGATCATTCGTATATTTAAGACTGTTAGATTAAGGCTAGTGGCGACGATACCTCCGATGCCAACAAGGTAGCTGCTGAAGATGGCTCAGAAGAAGCGAAAGAAACGTCCGATGAGGTGAAATGAGATGCTTAGAAAATCTCACTAATTATTCTATTTTAGAAAGCTGAAGGAGATGACAATATTCCTACAGAACCACAAAAGATTGCCTGTAAGGTCGCTAGAATTCCCAGAAAGATCCTGGAATACATAATGCGATTCGAAGAAGATGATGTTGTTCGTATTAACGTTACACAACTTCGAGTTTGGATATCCACCGAGCTCTTCCACATGGCTAAAAGAGTTCCTGATTCTAACATGTGGGAAACTGAAGAATGCCCAGTTCTGAATCTGGATATACCAAAGAACTCTGGCTACGACATTTTCGTCAGATCATTCGTTCAAGAAAATATGGAGAAAGAAGAAAAAAGAATTGATACCGACCGTGAAGTAGAACTACTAGTCAGTATATTTGCTTATTTCATCTGTTTTAGACGAGAAAAAAACTTCCGAGCAACTTTGCAGCTCTCAGCAAGAAGCAGAAGCGGCGAGTGATCGCTCAATTGACTAATGAGGTAGTATCATGAGCGCATGATCATTTTGAAATGAATTTTCTAGATAAACAAAGGGAAGCCTGATGCAGAGGAAACTGAAGAGCCCAAAGATGGTGCCGAAGAATCTGACGAGGTACACTTTATTTTCGTATTTATCGTCGTGAAGCTTGTTGGTCTTCCTGTTCTGAGTTAAAACAGAACAAGAAGATTTTGATTAAACAGCTTCGTGAATCTGCTCCCCAGTCTCGAAAGAATCTAAAGTTTAGAAGAATTTCTTCTCTTGCTTCTAATTAATGGAGAAATCTAATTCAACAGAAGATATTTCTGTATCTTTATCTCCTTTAGTACAACTACGTACATTCGGCTTAACTGCCTTTGTGTTAGTTTGTTTGCCAGTTTTAGAAGGAACCTTCTGATCTCTATTTTAAATTGTTGAGACTTCGTAGCGTTCACCAGCGTTTGTTCCATTTTCCTCTTGGAATCTGGCCCATTGAAAAGCTATTAAAGGCTGTAAGGGCTTTAGATTCAGATTCAACCTGCGAAGGAGAAGAAAACTGCGAACGCAGGTTCCAACAAGTCGATTGTGGCAAATAACCGCAAGGAGCATTCTAATAAGAATATTGCGAGCCGTAAAAGGCATATTAAGTAAGTTTTGTTTTTGGCAGAGCTTTTCTTCTAAAAGCTAAAATTGGCTATTACTGTTTTCCGTATGCGGAAGTTAGAGCTCACTTTAAAGATAGATTAGTCAATTCATCTTTCGTTTGTATTCCCAAGGAAAAAAATTCATTAACTAGTGTTTGTGCATGAGTTTTGATAATTCATGAATGTCACCTCTGGGATTTTATTCGCATTGCGCGCACATCCATTATAGAGGGGACTTACTTTTGGAACTTTTGTATTTTGTTTCTTTAAGCGATTCTACTGCTCGAGGAAACAAAAGAGGAAAACCAAATACTGCTACACGTGGGGGTAAGCATTTATATACTAGCATCATCATATCTTTATATTGAAGGTGGTGTGAAAAGAGGTGCCTCCGGACCGAAACCGGGAAATTCCGGACCTCGCAACATGCCTGCAGGACAAGATCGTAGAGATGCTGCCCGGAAAACTTGGGGTAACACAGGATTCAATCCACGTGGTAACATGCGTAAAGATTGGGGACCAAGTCCATGGAACAATGGAATGCCAATGTTTGTTACCAGCATTGTACGCGGTTTACTGTTCACCTTTCAGTCCTGGCATGGTGAATCGCCATAACTACGAACAGAATTATGAGCTTGATAATCAGCGCTATCCCGCTTTTAATAGTGGAGCAGCCATGAGACAGAACTTTGATAGCTTCGACAGGTACTAATGAGCAAGCGTAACGTTTCTGAGAACTATTTGCAGGTCTCAATCCCCATCTGTTAATAGATACAACAACAGCTATCAACAATTTAATGGTGGCCAGAAGAATGGTTTGTTCAGCTCATTCAACTCGGAAAACAGTTTTTCTTCAGAAACTAATCGCTTCATGGATGACAAGTACGGTAGTTACAACTCTGGCATGGAAATGATGAACAATAAGTGAGCATTCTGAACACTTTGAACATGATCATACCTTCTTTTTTCAGTTTCCGAGGAACCGCTCCCGGTAAGTTCGCTTCGTTCCCGGGTTTGGCTAGCAGCAACATGCCAAACATTGGCGGATATGGACCCAATACAACCCCAGCAGGCAGTGGTTATGTTGGGAGCATGATGCAATCAGCTGATGCTTACTCCAATTTTATTAACGGATATAACAATACCGATAGAGATCGTAATGAGGAAAATCGGTTTAACAATCGCAGACATGATCGCCGTTGAAAAGCCGTAGAAATTGATCCAATTGACCCTTATTTTAATGCCGCGGTTGCTGAATGGATCTCCCCAGCACAACTTATTAATTATTCTGTTGTTTAACATAATTATCCAACTGTCTTCTTTGAAATTAGTTGTACATGACTCTGAACATTTTCCTCTTCAATGAAGAATTAAAATAATTTCACTTATGAGTTGGGGATGGAAGTAGGAGGTAAACTTCAGAAAACAAAATAAAATGTATTTTCAGTTCCCGTTCCCAAAAATAATAGATGAATTTGGATACATCGGCAGATTGTTAAATTATTTTGATTGTTTAACAACTTATAAACTTGACCGCGTTGTTTGATAACTTCCGGCTCAAGTTTTGGTCGTATAAGAAAATGCCTTACATGAAGTGGAGATTGGAAAAATGAAAGAAACATGACAGAGATAATGTTTTGATTTCTTTTTCATGGTTGTTTTAAGATGGACGAACTATGTTTAGCATGAATCATCTAAATTTGGCTTTCAGTTCGAAGCAACGCCGGAAATGTGTTAACTTTTGATCAAGTTTGACGATCAACTTTCGAATTTGTTCCAAAATGATAGCGACCTATCAGCTGAGAAATAGTTGACCGATCACAGTACGGCTATTAATGGTGACAAAAATCATGTGCTAGAAACAATTAGACAAGTATGAAACGACATAGCATACAGTGATCATGACGCTCTGGTCGTTATTTTCCCGAATTGTTCGTCATTCGAAAAGTAAAAACAAGGAGGCCGTCTTCAGAGAGATATAAAATATAACCTGGCTTTTTTGTTGCTAATATATGAACTTTCACCATTATACATCACTACTCTCCTACAGTTCATAAAATTGAAGTTCTATAAAAGCAAAAGTCATTCGCTTCTTTACTCATAAGAACTTTCATGTTCTGTCTTCAATCCTTTAGAAAGATAGACTCGTTTATTCAAGTGATCACTTGATCAATCTGAAACATTGCGTTCTCTTATTAATTTTGAGCAGTAAGATCATGTACTTTTACTGAAAGGTCACACCTTCTATTATCCAGTTTGTGTTAAGAACAAAATTTTCGCCTATAAAACTAATAAGTTTTCTTAACTTTACATTCTTTTCCTCTTTGTTTATAATGATCCTTGTGGTTTCTCTCTTTTAACCTATTCGTGCTTTCTTTCTTTGTACGAGTGAATGAGGAAGATTATTCCTTCTCCACTGAGCTATTTGCTCAGAGATTGTGTTATAAACAAATGGATAAATAAAAGCTCTTCACGTTTATCAACACAAAGGAAAAGAATAACGCTGTCATCACACGTTTGGTTTATCTTACATTCGAACTATTTTTCGAGAGATTTAAACAAAACACGCCGATTTCAATGCTAAATTGGAAAAAAGCCGAAGCCGCTCACGTTCACGTACGCCTTCCGATAGTTTTTTGAGTGCTCCTCATTTAAAACAAAGCACATCTGAAAAGCGGTTGTTCATTCTGGACTTGCGGTTTCTCTCACACACTTTACTCCTCCTTTGACCAATACTTAAAGAGGCGACTTAAGCTTCTAAGTCAACACTGATCTTATATTCGGAAACTCCTCCTCTTTGTCCTAAGACAGTCAAGGTGTTGCTCGCACGCGAATGAGCCATTTTGTTTTAAATATCTTTAATAATGCAATACAATCTCTATTTCCCGTAATTGTAGTTTGATTTCATTTCAGGGTACTATGACCCCAACCAGGACTGCTTTTGTTTCAATCCTGTTAATACAAATATGTTTCTCTGAAATTATTCCCAGAGAATTGTTGTTTTCCGATGCTAAATACACTTCCGTTTCACTCAGTCCTGACGGCAGGTACAACTCTCTTCTAAGATCGTTGCTTCAATCTTTTTAATTTTCAGACATCTAGGTTACATTTCCGTTGATGATAATGGTGTAAAGAATGTATTTGTCAAATGTATCAATTGTAAATCAGAGCGTCAAGTAACTTTCGAAAAACAAGATGCTGTGCTTTGTTGAGTATCTTACATATAGCTCTTTAAGACTCATTTCTTTTCAGCATATTCATGGACTGCTTTACCAGATATCATTATTTACACTCAGGATAATGAGGGTGATGAAAATACACGCCTGTACAAAAAAAATATTTCATCTGTTGGTTTTCAAAAGTTATATGTTTTCATTAATTTTTTTCAGGAAGCTGTAGCTAGAGACAAGTCGAAAAGAGTTGTTATTTCTGAACAACCTAGAGTCAAAGCATCTATAATGGCTAATAACCAGATTGATCCTTTCGTTATTATTGGATTGAATGACGAAAATCCTGCGTTAGTTTCTCAGGTTTTCTTTCAATCATTAATTTGTTCTGTTTAGATATCACAATGTATACTTGTTTGACCTGAACACCAACCAATTACGGTTATTAATGAGAAACAACCGGTTTCCAATGTTTGTAATTGACAATTCCTTACGTATCCGCCTGGCTAGTGAAGAATTACCTAATGGAGATATTATGTACTACAAGTGAGTAACTAACTGTTCAGTACACGCTGATCTAATCATTCTTACTTTGAGGCCGAGTCGGAAATATGATGGCCGTTTACTTACTTCTGACAAAGAAGATTGGACGCAGTACTTGCTTGTTCCTGTTGAAGACAAGCCCACTACAGCGTGAGTCTCATTTCAAAGAAACAGAGTTTATTTTCATTATTTCAGACCGATAAGCTTTGATCAAAGCAATGAAAACATGTTCTGGATGTGGGGAGAAGCTTCTGATTTGGGGACATTGGTCAAATTTCCCTTTGAAAAGCCTGACCAACAAGAAGTCCTCTACCAATGCACTAGGGCACAGATTGGCCATATTTTGTTCCATCCCACAGATCGTACTTTGCTTGCTGTCAGCGAAGTCTATCATAAGCCCGAACTACTTGTTTCTAATGAGACTGTCATTGATGATTTACAATATTTAGTCAATTTACGACCACATGGATCTTTGCAAATTCTTTCTTTGAGCCAAGGTAAAACTGGAATACATTTTTTCATTAACTGAATGATTACAGATATGAATACATGGTTGGTAACATACATGTCTTCAGACAGACCTTTTGAGGTCTTTGTATACCGCCGCTGGGTCAAGACTGCCGAGCTCCTATTCAACACCCATCCTCAGCTAGAAAAGTTTAAAATGAACAGACAAATTGGTTTTGATTTCAAAACAAGAGACGACCTTGTTCTGCAAGCCTATCTCAGTCTTCCAACCGGTGCTCCTTTGAAAATGATGCAAGATGTTCCTGTGGCAGACAAAGGATACGCAGAGCTAGGAATGATCCCAGAGAAGCCACAGAAGATGGTTATACTCGTTCATGGAGGACCAAAAGCTCGGGATATTTATGGCTTCAGCCCCTTAAATGCTTGGCTGACATCTCGAGGATATGCAGTTCTCCAAGTCAACTTCAGAGGAAGTACCGGTTTTGGGAAACGCCTCACAAATGCTGGAAATGGAGAATGGGGTAGAAAAATGCATTACGATATTCTGGATGCTCTAGAGTTCACAATTGCAAAGGGGATAGCAAACAGAAGTGAAGTTGCCATTATGGGCGGAAGTTATGGAGGATACGAAACGTTAGTGGCATTAACCTTCACTCCTGACGCCTTTGCTTGTGGCATTGACATTGTTGGCCCATCTAACTTGGTTTCTCTTATGGAAGCTGTCCCACCATACTGGAGAGGATTCTATCAAGATCTAGTGAAAATGCTTGGAGCTGATATAACTTCAGAAGAAGGAAAGGAATCATTAATATCTCGATCACCGCTTTTCTATGCCGATCAGGTCAAAAAGCCTATTATGATTATGCAAGGAGCTAATGACCCCAGGGTCAAGCAGGCTGAATCTGATCAATTTGTGAAGGCTTTGAAAACAAATAACATTCCTGTCACCTATGTGCTCTATCCAGACGAAGGTCATGGGTTCAGAAAATCGAAAAACCAGTTAGCAAAGTGTGGTTTCATCGAGCATTTCTTGAGCCAATGCTTGGGTGGAGCGTACGAGCCTTTCCATGTAGGACAATACAATTCCACAGCTATTGTAAGTTATTGAAACTCTAAAATAGTACTGTAACCTCTCAATTCAGCTGAAGTCCGATGGATATGCACCGAAACCACTTTCCACTACATTGACACCAACTACTGTTCCTGTATTTTATCGTCCACTCCTGAACAGATTCCAGGTATGAAAAGCATATTAAATGTTCCTTTGACAACTTTCTTTAGGTTCAACAACCTCGCCCTACGAACGTTGTTTTTCGACCAATAAATGCATTTGCACATCCGATTTTTCCTCAACACGGGTAGTTCTGTGATATGATCAGTCAAAGAAACTCATTCGAAGCTTTATTTTGTTAATCTGTTTGTTTTCAAGTTTTAAAAATCAATTCATTAGGGAGTGTTGCAATAAACCAGACGCTTGAAGCGGCTTTTAAATATTTTAACTGTGATATGATTATATTTTGAATGAATTATCTGATCGGTAAAGCTTTAATAAATATTTTCATTCATTTCTAGTTTTTCATTTCCCATGTCCTTAACCTGTGTAACCACTGAAGTTTGTAGTTAGTATTTTGGGTAGATATGTCTGTTGTTTCTAGGTTCCAACATTCAAGAGATACAAGTACACCACGACCTTTTCTTTTATTGAGTACTTGTAGTTTTTCAAACATACTATAAGACGATGTTTTCTTGTACAGCAATTCTTTTCTTGATTTTAAAAATTTATTGAAGAAAAAATTTGAAGAAGGGTTTTCATTTTATACGTAGAAGATTATGCGTTCGCGAATTTCTGTAAATTTTTCTATTTCCAAAAAAGGGTACAGAAAGTTTGATTCTGCTTCGAAAGCATTCCGTGCATTTCACTCTCATGTGCTGAAAATAGCGAGTGGCACCTTTTTCGTTTGTTATTATGTAGCGAATTAACATCATTGAAGCAACATGTGTGTTTTATTTTATTTTCTAATCTAATTTGATACTGTTTCTCTTTCTATGGCACTATCGATTGATTGTACTTTGTGCCACGAGCTAGAGAGTTCTATTCGTTCACATTTCGAATAACCT